GGGGGGGGGGGGGGGGGGGAGAGCACTCAGATGAATAAACAAAATGACTTTCTTTCAAGCTTCTAACTTTGTTGGCACTTAAGTTTCAACAGAAACACAAATCATGTAATAAAGGGGTCTGCATCATTCTAGGCCAAAGAAAATCACAAACGTAAGTACCAAAGAGACCAAGTTCAAAATTCATTGACTGCCCAAATATATGATGGCCAGTCGTGGCCCTAATCCTAGAAGACATCCAGAAACTCATTGGGCCAAAAAGCTTGGAGTCAGTTCGGGAGCTTGCACAACTATCATGAAGCCAGTTCAAAAAGCTGGCTGGGTCTTCTCAGATCCTTGGCAAGGAAACCCAAGGAAACTGAACCTGTCATCATCATGGATTCTGAAGCAAGTCAAGGCCCACATGGTCCAGATAATAAGGAGCACATGATAATTTCAACTCCTAAAGGAGGAAAGATTTGAAGCTATGTATTCAAAATGGAGATAAAGTTCTCCGTTTACAGGCCTATGGTAACAGCATCATCCTGGCCAAATAATTTTTCGGACAAGCCTCAATCAAAAGAAGGTCCTTCACCAGCAAAGGGGACCGGGGTTTCAGAAACTTTTTTCTTAGGAGACTTTTTTCCAAAGCATCTTGTCCAGATGGAACAAAGCTCCACCCTTTGACACCTCCATTCTACACTGCCATCTAAAAAGTACCACCACACAATACTATCACTCACATTTAAACTAAAGTATAAACCCCTTCACTCTCTAGGAGCAAGAAGAAACACGAGAGCTTACCAGTTAAAGGGTTCCAACAACACATTGTAAAAGAATCGTAAAAAAGGAACTTTAATCCCTTTCAACAAAATTTATTTTGTTTGCTATTGTTTTAATTGTTTTTTTTTAAATTTCTTAGAAGTCGGGAAGTTTTCTTCGATGTTGTAAACAATATTAGTTTTCTTAGATCGGAGAGACGAACTACCGATCAAGTGTTTAAACGTCCGGTCTATTGTCCTTAAATTTTTCAAACGCATTTCAAAATCTGTCACCAGACAGTTCTATACAATAAATATATTTAGCCAACGATTTTTATGTCAACTTCCGCAACCCAATCCCCACCCCCCGGCAGACCAAACAAGAAACACTGGTTTGTCATTTCAAAATCTTCAAAAAGTTCAAAAAATTATCGAAATCAGAAAGATAGAGATGGCGTACTAGTATTATATTTAAAATTAAGTGTGGGCAATGAAATTCTATAAAATCACTCCCATCAAAGCCATAACTTTTGTGAACCAGACTCTATGGTTATAGATACAAAGAATGTCAAGTAAAACAATTTGAAATGCTTGCACAAGTTAAATATTCTTAAAACAAAACACAGTAAGTATACCAGATGATGGCAAAAATGGAAACTAGAAAGGACAAGGTGATGGGGATCGTGTAGGAATTTGATAGATATTATAGATTAGTTATGAGAGTTATTTAGATATTTTTAATATGTATCTTTTAACTTTCGATGTTTATTTGTCATTATTTATTTTGTTTTAGGATTTTAGTTTCCCTATATAAAGGAATGCATGTAAGGGATTTATTTAGACTTTGATTATTATTGAATACTAATATTGTTTCATTCTCAAAATTCTTTCTCTTTTCTAATCCCTTTCTTCTTCTCTTCTCATCTATAATTCTTCCCTTCCTATTCTACATCAATTTAGTATCAGTGCTATTCCAATCTACATCAATTTGACATTAGAGCTAATACGATCTACATCACAAGGCTTTTGAAAGAACAAAACAATCTCATACAATACATAAATCAAAACACAAAGTAGAACACGACCAGTACCTAGCTGGATAACCAAGAGGTAATTTTGGCGAAATGGACACTAGCGCCGCTAGAACAGTAGCTTGCCCATGTAAAGAATCAAGCTCAACTTTCAAATTGCTTCCCTAGACAACAGGCAAAGAAAACAGTCCATAAACCAATTAAGTAAATTACATTTAGGACAAAGCACACCTCAAGCAAAACCAAAAAACGAAATAGGAATCTCTATATATCCCTTGCACACAACGTGCGCAGCTTGGTAAGTTCAGTTATTGGTATACCAGAACGACTTGACAAGAATAAAAATCAATGCAAAACATAATCAATTCATATCCAAGCTGTTACTGTTGTCACAAGCAAAGGATCCGTCATCGGTACTATCAGTTAGACCCAGAGATTCGTGACTGATGTTCCACCAGAATTTAATGTATATAACACTTCAACCTAAAAGATAAATGCTACATCAAACATATCTTACCACATCTGCCATGCATTTTGTTGTGGATGTCTTGTATTCTAGTTCTAGTAAGAAACTGATTTGAACTTTATTCTCTTTAGGGAATTAAAAAGATGGATGTCTTAGAATTCCACATCAAGTAAAAGAACAATTAGAAGCCGTATTGTATTAGGAGACAAAGTATTTTGGGTCTATAAAAAGATATAGACCACTCAGTTTCTTTTGAGGTTTTTGGCCCCCAATTTTTGGCCATCCATGTTTGGTTCTATTCTTTAGGTTACAGAGTTTAGTGAAATTTTGTTGTTGTGCTTCACCAGTAGAGTAGGCTTTTAAACTGATCCACAAAAATTTATGTTCTGTATTTTGTTATTTCATTTTGATCATTTGTTTGTGGCATTTGTTCATAACACATTGGCATCATGATACGAGAACAGCAGAGATTTGTTTGCCCAATAAGGCATATTATTGCATGCATGACTTTACCATTCATAAAACTATTTGAGATTTGCATGCTCTAATAAAAAGTACATGCTAGAAAGCTTGTGCTCCAACCAGTTACATGGCTTTGACAGAAACAAGTGAAACAAGATCTCAGTTGTCCAACCCATATAATCCAGATAGTTTGATAAGGCACCATGCACAATGGGAAGATAAAGCAAGAGATGAGTCACCAAAACCATAGGTCTAAAAGAAAGGGGTAGGACAGGAACTTAACCATCACCAAGCCAAAACATTAAATAGATCCCGCCATAAACGATCTCATCCCAAACAAAATGTAATTTTGAGCAAAAATAATAAGTGACCTTAGAAAGGAAGAAAACCATAATACATATTATGAGCCTAAATGCTTCTCATACATTACCTTCTCAAATAAAACATTTTCCCTTAATGCACGAAGTGTAGTCACCCCATAAGAAATTAAACCACCAACACACGTTGGATCAACTTCAGCCAGAGCACGCAATGTTAAAGAGGCCTCAACTCGTACCTGGATACCATTTTTTCGGTCAATATTATATCATAAGAAAAGCATACTAGTCACAAAATTGAAGAACTAGAAACCGGGACAGCATAAGACCTAAAGTTTAAAAATAAAAAGTAACTTCAAATTTCTATATTCTAGAATCTATGTAGAATTTGATACCAATGTCATCGAAATTAAAAAAAAAAAAGATCACAAGATCAGCTCACTAGTTCCAAACCTCCTTTTATTAGTAGAAGAAATAGGACGAATAGAAATGACCACAAAATATTAGCTTGAAAAAGCCCAAAACAAAGCAATGAGTATAACAAAAATATAAGTCCAAAAGGGTGCCCAAACATTCCAATAAACTCATTCCCATAACCCTTCGAGACGGGTATAATTGACATGTAAAAATCTCCTAAGGCACGTCTCCTGCCCCCCCCCCTCCCCCCTAAAAAAAAGGCTAGAACCCCAGTCCGCTCTCCTCAATAGATGCATCATGTTGCCTTATTATTGGCCACTCTAGATATCTAAGAAATCTTCAGACTTCTTAGCCCATCTTACCAAGGTAAAACAAATGCAGCCCATGCAAATCACACTGCTATTTAGTTACATTCCTTCGAATCACCCTATTGTAGCCCCCACACTGCTCTTTGCCACCTTAGTACCACAACCTTCCCCTGTTTCCGCCTACATATATAGAATAGTTCAAGAAGTGAACATAGTTCCTCTCAGTCAAACAATGATGAAGTCCTAGACAGAAGGGTTCTAGAAGATCAACGAAAGAGCTAAAACTTGTTTGATATTAGGGGTACCACTAAAGTCCCCCTAAGAGTTCTAATGCAGAAAGGACCAATAACCATACTTCAGACCACAAAAGCAGGAGCTAATTAGTTGCAGATCCATAAATAAATTAAGGTTGCCCCTTGTAATTCCATGGAAGAAACACACTTTGTAACTCTGTCACTCATCTGCTGGTCAACAATTTGCATTCTAGGACCAACAATAGGACCATTCTTCATAGCACAAAAATAATTACTTGCAGATTCATACGTAAATTAAGGATACCCCTTCTAATTCCTAAGTTACTAAATCCCAAAAAAGGCCAAGAAGCACACTTTGTAACTCCCGTCACTCATTTGCTTGTCAAAAAGTTTTGTTCTAGCAATCCAAACAGCCCAAAGCAATGCACAACTTGAGCCAAAATAAAAAAAAAAAAGAGCTCAAAGGAAAACCATGACGACAGTAGGTATGAAGGAGCAATTATGTCAGCATAATGCAATAGAAATACATTTCCAAACAATAAAGGTGCATTTCGATGTCTTTCTTAAAAGTGAGCATGGGTTCCGCATGAGACAATTTCTGATGATTTACATGAGCACTCACATCACATCCATAATAACTCCAATCCATCTTAGACATGAATGGAGTTCAATTCAAAATATCAATAAAGCCAAATAGTACATTAGGCATCCAAACAAATCCTAAGTAGCTTAAATAATTATGCTTCAAGGACAAGCATCATAAACAAAACCTTACAAGTGGTGAAGAATGAGAAAGTGCCACAACAACAGTGTCATCAAGAACCTCCTTTAACTCATGTGGAACCTGCAAATTAACAGATTAAAGCAACACCCTCAAAAGACCATTGCAATGACAAAAAGCCGTTAAGTCTAAACACACAATTCGGCCCTTGAAACACAATAAAATATAACTAATTCTCTGCCAAAACCACAAACAATCCAATACCAGAAACAAAAGGTGCAAAAGCCAAACAATGGTGTTTATTAGCATCTCTTATGCTAGTCCACAAGTTTTGCACAATTTTCTTATTGTACATATTGGTACAAACATTTACTAATTACTTAACGCATGCAATCAACTTTGAAAAAAAGTGAACTTTGAATTACAAAGGAAGCAATTTAAAAGTAAAATGGACACATAGAAACATTTTGTTAAAAAAAAAACAATAAAAGTAAGTTGACAGAAATCTTTGAATGATAGAAAGCTTTTGTGAAAGAATGAGCACAGGGATTTTTTGAGAAACTAGGGAAGCTAAGGACTAATCAGAAAGTCGCGGCCTATTAGGCAATTTATACAGCTTGTCCATTAGCTTAGCAATTATGGGCTTTTAAGAGCCAACAGCAAGTGACAGTCCAGTGATTTAAAACACAATAACAACCCTTCAAAAAGGACTGAATGTAACTTACCAACAAAATCAATGAAAATTTATAATCCAATAACCACTCTGTACAAAAAAAAAAAGGTTCCAGATAAATCAAGCAGAAAAGATAAAAGATGTAGAAGAGGCAACAGCCAGAGCATTCACCTGTAATCATGGGGAAACGTAGTGGGCCAAAGGGGGTCATATGACTCATATCCCCTTCCCCTTTTAAAAAATTGGTTTTTCAAAAGTTTACATAATCGGCTCTGCAGTTACTTTTACATAAAACACTTTGGAGTTTGGACTTCATAGCTTGGCCCGTCAACAAGTAGTCTACAATCTACATTTTCATTACATCACCCCAACTCTCTATATTTCTGATTCTCACACGTTTAAGAATTACTTGTGGACCCTTTCTCACAACTGAATGACATTAATTGCTTCTATTGCTTGGTAATCTAGTGGGGTGGACTAAGAAGGGAGGTCGATTAAAGGGATGGAATTTTTGTTTAATTCTGCTATACCAAATTTACTTTGGTCTAGTTGCATATATCGCTTTGGTCCTGTCCAGCGAGCATATATGGTATAATAGAGACAGATAGTCGTGCAACAATACATAAACACCACAAAATCATCTCACCTCTCCTAGTGTTTTCAAAGCATAGGATAAAGTCCGTAAAGCAGCAATTTGCATAGAAGGACTGGCATCAGGAGACTGAAGCTGCAGCAGGATACTCTAGTTGTGTCATTCAAAATAATACAATATGGAAGATTCAACCAAAGACACACACAAACTTCATCTTCAACAAGAAGTGATGAAATATGAGGCATTCTAGCAAACCTGCTTGCCTAGAAGAACCAAAAAGCCCCTCTGAGTAGGTTCAGTCATTTGGTCAGTTACACCCACCCGAAGTATATACAATACACATGCCTTCAAACAACCAAGAGATGCATTTTTAGTGAATAGCTTGATTCCATAGAACATTAAAACAACAAGATGCATAAACATGTTTAGCAAGCAATGAAGAAAATAGAGACACATAAAATGCAAGCTTTTATATGATTGAATCAATGCATTTTCAATATCTACAACAATGATTTAAGAATTATGAATATACCAATGTAGATTGGTTGCATAATCCTAATTGGCTATAAACAACCTTAAATTCCAAAACCAATTAAGAAAAAGATGAGAAAATCCTTTTTCTTAGGAATTTTCTATTTGACAAGTTCAACTTTTTTATTAAGGAGGGCCAACATAAGGGCAGAATGGAGTGTATGAAAGGACCACCAAAAAATTATTTACAATTACACTCCCATCAAAAAGTTGCCCCGAAAATCATAAAAGAAACTACAACACCCAGGTGACACCTCATTAAGCCAAAAAAGAAAAGAGGCCACAACAAATAAATACGGACCTTAAACATGGTGCTCCAACCCCTCAATTGATTGTCTACTACTCCAGAAGCTTTTCCCTAACTGGAGACCCCTCCAGCAGCATAAGTCCCCAACTCACCTCGGGACCAGCCACACCATCCCAAACAAAGCACACCAAAACTCTCTAGACACCTCATAGTGGGGAAACAAATGGTCCACAGTCTCTTCATCCCTTTCACTCATAATTTAAAATAAAGTTACTATGCCTCCTGAGATTACCAAGGGTCAAGATATCATCCAATGCTGTCTTCCATAGAAAAAAGAAACCCACAACCAAATACCCATCCAAGGGAAACCAGTAATTTCATATACTCCTTCGCTAGGCTTTACCCTTACCCACCAAAGAAATGTCCACCTTAATAAATTTTCTTCATAAATGGTATGTCTAGGGCATTTCAATGCAGTCAATATTCAGGGAGAAATTACTTAACAAAACAAAAATACCTTGGTTGAATTAATATTTAGTATCCTAAATTTTGGTTATTTTCTGATCCCATGAGAATAAGTTAAGAGCATCAACCCCCACCCCCCAAACAAAGGAAGACAGCTATCTTATACCACTTTACACAAGATGATTCCACTTCAGCGTATCCAGCACTCTCAAACATCAGATAAGATTATAAGAGTTACCCTGCTCGATCATCCAGCACACAAATGCAGCCTTATTAAGTCTATTAGCACCGTTTCACCATAGGAATACTATCAATGATGAAATGTCATACTGCAGAATACGGCACATTGACCTTTTTCTTTTTCTTTTTTCTCCTTTTTTTTTCTTATAAGTAATGAAATCAAAAGTCAAAATGTTTTAAATGGAACCTAAAAAGGAAGTGAAATCCAGGTACTAGTGTAGCATAAAATGGCGAGGCAAACTCGCATTGTAACACAAAATAACAATAGGAGTACAAACCAATCTTCATCATCTTTGGATTTTGAATTATATTAAGTATTTTCTCCTTGCTGATACCTTTCATCTTTCTCATTTTCTTTTATAGAACCGCAGTGATAGTTCACCTGATCGTTAGATATATCACCTCCTCATCAATTCAAGGAAAAAGATAAAAAGTCTAGATGCAAATTTGATAACAATACCAGTGTTTGTGCATCCACAGTAGTATCCCCCCGAAGCAAGTCCATAACCTGCATCGCGAAGTTCTGCAGCTCGCTATCTGGGTGCAGGTACTTCAGACGAATGGCCTGCCAGATGAAAATATTAATAAAAAAGAAAATGATGAAAGATGAAACAGAAATAAATGAATGTCATATGACTAATATAACAGAACAATCTGACAATGTCTCATGTGAAAATGTGAATCCAGAATCAATGCCTGCCAGCAACAATAATCTTTCGAAAACAATAAAAAGCTTTCCTTCTTTGAAAAAGGAGATCTATTTCATATAATTCTAACAAGGAACAAGCAAGCAATTTCCAAGAGCTGATTGACGCAGCAAAATGTTACAGAATAAGTATAAGCCCAAAACANCACCTTAATAAATTTTCTTCATAAATGGTATGTCTAGGGCATTTCAATGCAGTCAATATTCAGGGAGAAATTACTTAACAAAACAAAAATACCTTGGTTGAATTAATATTTAGTATCCTAAATTTTGGTTATTTTCTGATCCCATGAGAATAAGTTAAGAGCATCAACCCCCACCCCCCAAACAAAGGAAGACAGCTATCTTATACCACTTTACACAAGATGATTCCACTTCAGCGTATCCAGCACTCTCAAACATCAGATAAGATTATAAGAGTTACCCTGCTCGATCATCCAGCACACAAATGCAGCCTTATTAAGTCTATTAGCACCGTTTCACCATAGGAATACTATCAATGATGAAATGTCATACTGCAGAATACGGCACATTGACCTTTTTCTTTTTCTTTTTTCTCCTTTTTTTTTCTTATAAGTAATGAAATCAAAAGTCAAAATGTTTTAAATGGAACCTAAAAAGGAAGTGAAATCCAGGTACTAGTGTAGCATAAAATGGCGAGGCAAACTCGCATTGTAACACAAAATAACAATAGGAGTACAAACCAATCTTCATCATCTTTGGATTTTGAATTATATTAAGTATTTTCTCCTTGCTGATACCTTTCATCTTTCTCATTTTCTTTTATAGAACCGCAGTGATAGTTCACCTGATCGTTAGATATATCACCTCCTCATCAATTCAAGGAAAAAGATAAAAAGTCTAGATGCAAATTTGATAACAATACCAGTGTTTGTGCATCCACAGTAGTATCCCCCCGAAGCAAGTCCATAACCTGCATCGCGAAGTTCTGCAGCTCGCTATCTGGGTGCAGGTACTTCAGACGAATGGCCTGCCAGATGAAAATATTAATAAAAAAGAAAATGATGAAAGATGAAACAGAAATAAATGAATGTCATATGACTAATATAACAGAACAATCTGACAATGTCTCATGTGAAAATGTGAATCCAGAATCAATGCCTGCCAGCAACAATAATCTTTCGAAAACAATAAAAAGCTTTCCTTCTTTGAAAAAGGAGATCTATTTCATATAATTCTAACAAGGAACAAGCAAGCAATTTCCAAGAGCTGATTGACGCAGCAAAATGTTACAGAATAAGTATAAGCCCAAAACAATACACTTCCAGCCAAAGCAATCTCGAAATCCAAAACAAGAGCAAAAAAAAAAAAGAAAGAACAACAACGACCAAAAACTAATGACAGTTTACATATTTCTTCTGAAGAGTAACTGGCAAGGCATACAACAATTTAACAAAAGCAATGTTTTCTCATCTCACACAAATCAGCAATATATAACGTACATAAGGTTCTCATCCAGAAGAGATATATTTCTTGTATGGTGGAAGAATTTCTTTCCCTTTTCTCCGGGGAGGGGGGTGGTTTTGAATTCAGAAGCTACCTGTAAAAAGAATACCCATGACAGGGTGAGGCCAATCCGCAAGTCCTTTGACCGAGATCCACTAGCTGCAATTTAAGAAACGTATCATTACTAGGAGAATGACAATCAGTAGCCTCAAGATATTAAAATTGAAAAGATAAAGACACTTGTGCAGCCATTTTTTTCTTTTAATAATTAAAATTGCATTAATGGAGGCTAAGGAAACATCACCCTCTGACAGTTAAAAAACACAGTTTAGTCTCCATTAATGCAACTCTGAGAGGGGTCGATTGGGTATAGATCTAATTTTGACATCATTTGCAAAAACTTTAGACACCATTAATGGGGTCTGGCAGGGGTAAATTGTGACTAAAATCTGTACAAGAATCCACCATTGTGACTAAGCCCAACAAGGTAATAGCCCTTCATCCAAAATATAAAAGTAAAAAACCAATCTATGGAATTCTATACTGCCTTAAAAATCCTTTTACTCTTCTTCTTCCATACACACCAAAATAATGCTACTGGTATCAAACACAAAACTCCTGCAACCTCTTCCTCAAGAATCAGACATACACATGCCACATCAACCAATAAGAATATCAACGACCCCAACTCGGACAAAACAAAAGAATGTCGCTCATGGACACCCATTTGAACAAACAAAGAGCAACTATTCGGGAGTTCAAAGCCCCTCCTGAAGTTATACAAAGTTAGAATGAATTCCGTGTCATCATCCGAACGAAAAAGCACCTTCGAACCTTAGGCTTCCAAATCCCTACTGAAGGAAAGATACAATACCCCCTGCTCAATATGTTGTATATTGACCTCAATCTGTATCTCCCACTTCTCTCAACAGCCCATCACACCGTGTCACCCTTAGGCCACCCCACTTCCACCCTTGCAAATAATCTAGAAGTTCCACAACTCTCTGAAGTTCCCAATCATACAACTCCCCTAAAGCTGGGATGTCCCATCATTGTACCACCACCCTCTGAAAGACACTCCTAAACAAAAGCCTCCATATTGGAGACCAACCCTAAAAGGGTGAAGAATCTATCTGCTTTGCCAACATTTTTTGCAGGTAGACAAAAGCAGAGGGCAGGCCTCCTCTACACTGCCTATTTCGCCAAAATATCACTCTTCTCCCTTACCCCAAACGAAATGTAAATCCATAAGTCCTCTATGAATCCCATAATACTCCCCAACAGCCCTACTCCATGAGCCCCCAACGTCCCCTCTGAATACCACCCACTCACCACATTCATACTTCAATGTCACCACCCCTCCCCCATAGTGCTCTCCCCTCCACTACGAATCTCCGTAGCCAATTGCCAAGCACAGCTTGGTCGAAGGTTCATAGCTCAAAAAGACTGATGACTCCTGGAAGCAAGTTCTGAAACATGGCAGGCTTTTCTTCCCATTATTCTTGCAACTAAGTAGGACACTTCTGTTCTAACACACTAAATTTAGATATTCACCAAACTTCTTTCTATATCTTCTACCCCTTTTGTTCCTCGTAAGATGGATTAGAAAAGTAACTCATAACGATAAAGTGCATGCTAATTATCATAAATAGTAATCTATTAGGAGAACTGCTGGTCAAAAATACGACAGGTGCAATCCTTCAAGCAGCATGGACATCCAAGTATGCCACATCACAATACCTTTCATAAATGGCAGAGCCAAATGCCTTTGCAAACACCCTTCGAGTTTCTTTGGAGTAAAATGGCCCTTGCCCCTTGGTTGCACCTGGTAAAAAAAATAAACAAATGAGATTGAAGCAAAAAAATAATAATTTGATCTGACACTGAGAGATGGATACCTGTGCCTCGGGATTCATTCCAAGAGCAAGCAATGCTCCCAAGGCTTCAGCAAAAGCATCTCTAACAGATGATATAGGATCTTCAAGGGCCTAATAAAATGCAGCATTGCAGCTTCAAAGACTGAACTCTTCAGCAAAAGGACAAGAAGAAAATGCAAGAAAAATATTGCCTACCTTAACACAATAAGAGGAAGAATTGTCAAGCTCCCCAACTCCTAAGCCTGGTCCTCCAATGTTTGCAAAAGCCTTCAGACAACTAGCAGCAGCTATTCTAACATTAAATGATTTATCCCCAACAGCCAACCGCATTATGAGACGGAACGCCTCTGTATAAGCTGCAGAAGCACCGCTGCCACAAGTACCTTCCAAAGCATTCTGAAGCATATGTAATGCTTCTTGCCTCACAAAATCCTGAAGTGACAAAGTGATTAGGTATGAATGTAATAATAATTGCATTGTAATAATCTATCCCAGAATGACAGAGAACACTTTTTGAGGCGAAATCTGACCAGTGCATCAAATAATCTTTTTAGTACATCAAATAATTCTTTCACTGATTATTACTCGTCGCCCAAACTGTTATATTTTTCAAAAAGATGACAAAACAACCTTCATTGGATCGTACAAACTATAGACGCTATCATTGCAGATAAAAATTATTTGCTGACAGAGATTCCTACTAATCACGTCTCTCTCTTCTTCTTCTTTTCTTTTTTCCTTTTTTTGGCTAGTCTTGATCCCATTCGGGGTAGTATACTATAGGATACCTCTTATGAATGGAGTGTACAATTATCCTTTGTGAAGAATATACTAAAAGTCAATAGATGTATCCCATAGAGTTTTACACTCTAGATTCTACAGATTAATGGAAACTCTATCCACAAAAAAACTACAATCAGATATACATATTTTGAGGCACAACCGTTAATAGCACAGCATAAGAGCTCAATTAAAAAGCTTCAACATTTCTATCTGCAGCATTTCAATTAATCCTTTATTGTATGGGATAGATTTGCCACGTGAGCTATTACCAAACACTACTCGTGTTACGGCAAATAACACAATAAGGACAGCATTGCTCTACACTGCTCAAAGGCCCAATAAAGGTCCTTGTAAGTTCAACTGGGTCAAACAAAAAAGATAGGCAAGTTTTAATAAATAAAGCCTTCGCAACAAAACATGCTAACGACTAATGAGATGACTGATGTAACAACCAATAAACGAAGAAACTTTCCAAACATAACAAATTCTTACAACTTTCTCTCTTTTATCACGATACTAAAACAATTTTCTTACCAACTTCAGTCTCTTTCAGAATACTTAAAGTTAATTTTTTAAGATATTTGCTAAACATAAGAATGCTGTGTACAAAAATTAAGTTGAGGGATTCGACCATCATATGCCAATGATAGAAGAAGTGTCATAACAGTATAAATAATTAAATATGAAGAAAGTTGTGATATTTATTGGACCACCTCATTAAATTTCATGAGTTTTGCCACAATAATAGTTGTTTCAAGTAAACCAGAAGTAATTCGTCTCCCAAAATGGCGATATAATTCTCCCAAGCATTGCGCAGCACCTGTAAATTTGTTGCCAGAAAATTATCAACATTAGATATTGAGATAAATTGCATAAATACATCAGAATTTTTAAGGCAGGAAGAAGGATCATATTATAGATCATCCATTTTCAGTCACAATAAACCAAACGGTAGGATGAGAATATCCATTTAAAGCACTGTTTCCGGATGAGAGACACAAAAATAATGCTCAAAAGACAGTCCACACACTACAGAATGACTCTCCACATTAATCAGCAAAAGCTGTTATTCACATTTCAAGATATTGTACGACTGAGTTTGACAGGAACCCTATAACCTCCACCACCTATCCTTACTAAGATGCTATTAACACGCACAAACAGCTAGGCATGTCATCTCAGTTTTCACCATCTAAATGCATCAAAGAAGAACTACCACACCCAAATATCCAAAAGAAGTCATCCTCAAAAATATTTAAGCTCATAGAAGGCCCTTAAATATCTTCCTTCTTAAATGGCCCCCATTGGACCATGAAACAGTTTGGAAAACCCTACTACTGGTAGGTCTCTTGATTCACCATGCACATTGCTGGCAGGTCATGGTTCAACTTTCAACATATTATAACTTACACAAATATTATTCCACTCATTTAAGCCTTTGTCCTGCCTTTTAGAGTAATCAAGTATATTAATATTAGGAGTAATTTAGTCATCTGTGTTATTATGTTTTGACCTACTAAATAAAACTATTATGGTGTAGTTTTCTTTTCAAGTTGTGTCATACAAACTTAGAATACAATAATGAAAATCTCTTTCACTTTCTAAAAAAAAGAAAAAGAAAACTACATAATAACAGTTTTATATAATAGGGCAAAATAGAATAACATGAATGACTAAACTATTCCTAATATACCAGATTACTCTGACACTAACTACTTAAGGCAGAGCTATATGAATCCATTTTGTTTTCCAACTCTATCTTGGGCAATATAGTTTGTTAAATCTTGCTCATCTCCTTTCTCACAAACAAAACCTGCATTCTATGAGCCTTCATCTTCCTGATATCCTTTGGACACGTGTCCCACAATCCATAATCTTTTGGCCACCTTCATCTTGCATGTAGCCCTTCTTCCATGTCAGTGCCCCCAGTAGCCTTTATCAAACGGCAAAACCATCTTTCATGTGCGCTCCACTTTTGCATTATCTTATCCTAGATTAGTGCCTCGGCTGAAGTCCATGAGCACTTCATTTCTAATATTACCTTTTCACTCGTGAAAGTGCGAAGCAGCGCACATCGAGGATAAAGTGGTGGAAAGTCAGGTTTTGACACCGTTCTATAACTGATGATGAAGTCCATGAATGGGAATCGATTCTATAGATGAAGACATCACAATGCAACTGCATGCATCAAAAGTAAAAAATTTAACTAGACCAACCAGCAACTCGCTGTGGCTCGATCTTCTTCCCATCAGATAAAAATCCCTGGAGGCTGCTCGCTCTTGAATATATCGAAATGCCATCCCCCTTTGATATGATCCTCGCCATGGCCACTGATGCCAGGTGACGCACTGGCCGCCGAGCACCAAGAACAAGCAGAGAGTAGAGCGCATCCTCGCATTTTCTTTGCCACAAGAGTATAGATTCCTGAAATCTCCCCACGCAAAACGTCCATAAATTTCTTTTGTGCCAAAACCAAATTAATTGTTGAAATTTACCAACCCCATTAAGAAACAACACAGTTCAAATAAAAAGATAGCCATCAATGTATATATAACCAGCACCACCCATATTTCGTAAGATTTTGTTATAACAAAGTACACATCGGGAAAAACAATACTATAAGGTTTCTTTAAAAAATCCAACAATTTCATCAACTTCTAAAAAGGTCGAGAACCAACATTTAAAAAAATGTAATTTCCTAAATTAATTGTTGAAATTTACCAACCCCGTTAAAAAACAACACAATTCAAATAAAAAGATAGCCATCAATGTATATATATCCAGCACGACCCATATTTCGTAAGATTTTGTTATAACAAAGTTCACATCGGGAAAAAACAATACTATAAGTTTTCTTTAAAAAAATCCAACAATTTCATCAACTTCTAAAACAGTTGAAAAACAAACGCTTAAAAAAATGTAATTTCCTAAAATTTAATGAAATGCATAATCCGAATCAAATGTCCAAACCAGCTCTCAATCGGGAGACTTGCTAAACAAACCAATTCTAATTCCAATGTGAAAAAAGCAAATATGAATAAACATAATAGCAATATCAAAACCAATGAAACTCAATCGGAAGACTTGCTAAACAAACCAATTCTATATATATGAGCAAAATCAAAACCAATGAAACTCAATCGGAAGACTTGATAAAACAAACCAATTCTAAATCCAATGTGAACGAGAATACATGAATAAAGATATTAGCGGAGCACCGACATAGTGAGGACACAGTTTACGATCTAAAGAAGTGAATGAAACATGAGGAAAGAGAAAGATAATGTGACCTTGGGCTCCTCGTCGATGGCGGAGATGAGATCGGATAGAAGATCGAAGCAGAGGATTGGATCAGGGGGCTTGTGCGCTGCGGAGGCAACTATGGACTCTAACTGTGCAACCAAGACGCCGAATCTTGATAGGGGTACGTTCTCTCTCACGTAATTCTTCGCCATGCGAGTGAGAGAGACAGAGACGACAACCTGAAGCTGAGAGAGAACTGAAAAACACAAAGGCAGAAATAAAAGTGCAAAACGGCTAGTGTTGTTTTAAATAACCCTTGTTTCTTAATTTCATCGCTGTAAATTACGGTTGTAATATTCTCAATCAGGGTTTCTAAATTTTCAATATTCTCAATTTTTATTTTTTTTATTTTTTTTTAAACTGCATTCAATATTCTCAATTGAGTCCAACCATATTGTCCTTTGGTAGTGGATCTAATATTTTAAGATCTTATTTAAATTTAAGTTTAAGTAAAAATACAAAAACTCGTATCAAATAATGAAAAAATCTTAATTTTATTAAAATCTCTTTACTCAAATCTCCAATTGAATGGTCATAGTTTTAAGTCGGTAGTTAATAAGAAGTTCAAAAAAAAGTCAAGAGAAAGTGTCGTTTTTTCAGTTTTTAATTATCTAAAATAGTATAATTTTTATTTTTTCTTTGTAAATAAATGTTAGAGATTTGATTAATTGCTAAGATTCAACTAGAGGGAGGGGTCACAATGTAATCTCGTGTCTCCTCCTCCCATGTAAGCCCGCTTTCGATAGTAAAGACAAATCTTGCTAATATATATGTTTTCTAATTTCTCGATCGTTTTACCATAAATTACTCAAATGATCAAAAATTATATAGAGAACACATCTAATGTCTACAAGAATAGGAGGCAATTGAATTAAATTCACACTCCTTATCCGTGAGTAGCTTCATCACGTTGGAAGCATCCCTTTCCATAATTAATTCTTTGGCAGCCCCCCTGTTGTTTAGTGAAATGGACAGCCTCTCTTGGTGCAATGACCTCAACTATGCACCTCACATGGAGAAATTTATTTCTTTGTCGCACCAACAACGAACCTGCCCGCTTAATCTCTTATGATCACTCCAGCTCCAATTGCTCATTCATTCCACCTCGAACACCACCCCATCAAAATTGGCTTTTAAAATACTAGTTGTTGCACATGAGGCATTTTGAATTATAATTTTATTTTTATATTTTTATCTTTGTTGAAATTATGTTATCAAATATATATATATACTTATCAATTAAGATATAGAATTACAACCCAACTACTAATTTATATTTTCAAAAGTATCAACACATAACCTTTGGAATGTAATAAAATGAAGCCTCTAGCTAATATGATGGGAATATGTTATTCTATAACTATCTCTACGTAATTTTATTTATTGAAGTTATATATGTAATATAGTGTCTAATTATAACAAAAAAATAAATCAAGGTACAGGCAATAAAAATTTGTTTATCTAACCTAGATATATTTTTCTATATATTTATCGGGTTACTTTATTTTGTTGTAAAAAATAGCCTACTTTATAAATTATTACTTCATAAAATGGAGAAATAGATCAAGTGCCCTAGTTTCAAAAGCATTTGATAGTGGATCAGCAAACATTGATGCATGCTAACAAATTATGACCGTGATTATATTTGTACAACCTCATGATGCCAAAAAGTTTATACGTAACTAATATTTATCAACCCACTGAGGAAATGAATAGTTAGAATCACCAAGAGAAACACAACAGGTTTTGGTGTTAATCACATCCGCAAATCTATTTACCTGCCAAAGAAATGATTTTAATTATAAATACACAACAAAACCAAGCAACCCATTATATGGAATTTATGATTTTCGCTTGAAATTTCGCTGGCAATATAATAGCAGATATAAGTTTTGGTATGTATGGAAATAATATATATCAATAAGAGTGCCTACACCTCTTACATGGATAAAAATGACACAAAATCTTTAAAATTTTACATGAAAAACATATATTCACATATCCATATCCCCACTCAAGTCAATTTCAAGACACTCCAAACTAAGCATATTGGAGTAAAGGGAAATCCTTTTAAAGGACATGAGCCGCAGATACTATGATCCTAACATCTGTAAAAAAAAAATACATATATAATACTATAAAAAAATAATTATCTCAACTAGGTCGAAGATGAGGAAAGGTAGAAAACTAAAACAATCAATGATGATTCATTTCCTCTATATTACTTTCATCTTCCTTTAAGAATTTGGTTAATAAATTGATACAAAATGAGAACAGATAAAGAGAGACATTTGTAAATGAGAAAATCAAAAGGTCATTGATCGTAGGTTTTAAAAGTGAATATGTGGAAAAAAAATGATATTTTAATTATTCATTACGATATTAAAATGCTAGAAACCCAACGGTCAAGATTGTTTATCCAAAACTTAAATAGTAATCAATAATAAAATAATTGTGACAATTATTATAATATAATAATAAATGTTTTTCACTTTTGTTTAGTCATCTGCTCGGACATTTACACCCCAGTGAGCTAACCTCCCATGACGCGTTCGCCCAAGAGCATTCATTCACCGCATGAAAGAAAAAGTAGATTCCACCTCCTTACCACAAAAACATCGAATACGTCATTCGTTAGAATACACCTACGTTTTGTTAAGCTTCGCATTTTGAACAAGTGACATTCTTTGAAACGAATATGACAATTAGTGCGAGGGATATATGAATTCAACGTGTAAACTTCAGGGATTAGATTGAGAACCTTAAAGAGACACAAATAGCAAGTTTTTAGAGGTAAATAGTATAATGAACCCTTCAAGGTATATTGTTTGAGAGTTGACTTCATCATCCGATGCTACAAAATAAGCCAATTTCATTTAGTAATGTCAATAGATCAATTTTTTTGTAATTCAATCCCAATTTAAATTTGATTTTGACCAATCGACTAACCGGCAATTCAAAGTGATTATATTATATTTTACATATTCAAACTTTGATATTCAATTACTAGTTATTGTCTGTGCTTAAAGGTACAAAATAATAAAAAATAAAAAATAATAAATATATTTGTATTTATATTCAAAATCAAACCACAAACATAGATGAGAGATAAATAAATTTAAGCATCGATTGTAGTGGGGGTGAGGTAATGGTGGCGGTGGTGATAGTGGTGGTGGCGACGGCGACGGCGGTGGTGGTAGAGGTAATGGTGGAGCAGTTTCAAACACTATTTATTTTTTAAGTATTTATGATAAATAATTTTTAGAAATATTTTTAAAAAGTCACTTCAAACACATTTTTAAAGATTTATTTTTTCTATTAAATTTAGGGTATTACTATTAACCGTTAAATTAACTTTAAAGTAAAATTTAAAACGATATGAACTATGAAAAATAAAAGTCATTTTATTTGTCTTTTTAAATTTGAATTGTAAACTATTTTATTATTTATTATATAGATAATTGAATATTCGATATTTAACAAATTTATATATCAAGTATGGGATAAGGGCCTCATATTCAAATAAACAAAAATTAGAATATAATTTGGATTAGTTATAATTGAATACAAATTGAAGAAAATAAAAAGTGGGTACTCACATTTGAAGAATTAAAATATTGTTTATCTTTTTGTTATTTGTTTAGAAAAGAGTATAGCATATCCTTTATTTTCAAATTGATTGCAAATGACGGTGCATTTTTTAGTGAACAATACTTTATATTCTAAAAGATTTACATTATACTCTTAATCCAATAAAAAGGCAGTAATAAGATCAAAAGGTAAATATTTATCATATTTTTTTGTTGTATTATACTATTTTTATACTCAATTTAAAGTATTTCACATGAAAAATTTGAACTATACTATAAATTTTATTAAAATAGAATACATTTCATAATTTTAATTTATTAATGATAGAATATAAATATTTTAATTTTGAATGCATAAATTGAGCATTTAAAGATTTTTCAGGGTTTCAAGTGTCATTTTCCCAAACATAAAACAACCCTTCCGGAAAGCCCTAAACCCATCTCAGTCCAGAAACTACTCTCTTTTCCCCTCCACCTCCGACGCAGCAAACTTACTCTTCTTCTAGTTCGATCTCCTCACTATCGCGCTCTCCAAATCCACGATCAACTCTCCATTTAACTCACACAGGTAATCGATTTCTCTCTCCATGTCCGTATGTATCTATCTTTCAATACGTGTATAGATTTGCCCATATATGTGCGTGTTTGTGTTTAATCAGTGACTTAGGTGCATTGCAGAAGCGAAGATGTCACTGCAAGTTCTGAATCCGAATGCGGAAGTACTTAACAAATCGGCAGCTCTTCACATGAGCATCAACGCGGCCAAGGGTTTGCAAGATGTTCTCAAGAGCAACCTCGGCCCCAAAGGCACCATCAAGATGTGAGTGTTTATGCTTATATTACTCTTCATTAGCATTTCTAGTTTAAAGCTCCCATACTTTTCTCATTTTCTAGGCTTGTTGGTGGTGCTGGTGATATTAAACTCACTAAGGATGGCAACACTCTGTTGAAAGAGATGGTTCGTTCACTTTCTGGCTCTTTGATATCTATGTCCTGTTCCTTTTCTTCTGATTTTGTGGACAGTTATTTCTCATATTTGTCTTGTTTTGCTGCTAATATTTTTGTGCCATGGACTGTTGAGGTGATACAGTGGTATTTGCACCTGCACAACAAATTTTAAGACGTTTATGGGAAATAATGATCACTTGCCATTGTGGAGGATAATACCCATAATGTTAATTGGTGATTATGATCTAGCATGGGCAATGTAGTCTTGAACATGATTTGGAGTTGCTGCGGTGTTTGACAAACAGTGGATCCTAGATTTGCAATTGACATGTTTTATGATGGCAACTATACAATGGCTTGTTCTCTAGTAAGAAGACGTGGATTAGAGAGACCAAAGTGGAATCACAAAAAATCATATGGCTGACTTGAAGTGACGGGGGCGATGATTTTCTTTTAACTTGAGTAATAAGATGCTAACTTCTTTGCATGCCACGTTGTGGGGGTTTTAGAAGTGATACTGGCTGCCTCTAGTTGAATTTTAACGGTGGTAGCAAGATCCTTTAGTGACAAGGACATAAATTTCGCTACCAGATAAAGGGGAGAAACAGTTCCATTTGAAAAAAGAAAACTACCCATTTTATATTTGCTATTGGTGCAGTTATATCATCTATTTTAGTGAAGCTTCTTGCTAGTGTACTACGATTGACTTGTTGTTTATGGTTGCAGCAAATTAAAAATCCAACTGCAAATCTGATTGCAAGGACAGCTGTTGCTCAAGATGATATAAGTGGGGATGGAACCACATCTACTGTGATCTTTATTGGCGAGCTTATGAAACAAGCAGAACGTTATATTGACGAAGGTTTGGCGTGCGCATTAGATTACTTCCAATAAACCGTAGGCTTTAAGAGTCATTTTGTAATTCCATTTTGATATTTTTTAGCAGGTGGCTATTACAGTGTTATGGGTTGTAATGTTTATTCTAAATTGATGAAATATCTATTTTTTTTTTTTTTGTTTTGAATGTTATGTGAATTGAATTAATGTTGCTTGGCTTTAGTTTCTCTGCCCTTTCCTATATGTTTTCTTTTTGGGTGGATGGGTGGGATTTGGATGTTTCTTTTTTTTTTTTGTTTAACCCAAAAGTAGATGGACATACAAACATGTTATTAGAAGTCTTTATATTTTATGAATTTTGTGACTTTGCATACATGATCTACTCCATGGTAGATACTTTGAAGGGTAATGACATAACCTCCTTGTCATCCTGTCGTTGCAAATATGTTGGATCTTATTTTCTTAATTTGTTTTCCATATTGGGATCAGTTACCAGCATGTCATTGCAAATACTTTGATGCCATATGCCTTGAGGTAATTCTTGCTTGCCTTTGTTAAATTCTTCATCTAAACATTATGTGTTCCTCTTCTTCCAGGGATGCATCCAAGAGTTTTAGTTGATGGTTTTGAAATTGCCAAAAGAGCAACACTACAATTCCTTGACAAATTTAAGACTCCTGTTGTGATGGGTGATGAACCTGACAAAGAGATACTGAAGATGGTAGCAAGAACAACATTAAGAACAAAGGTTCTAAACTTTCTCCTCTTACATTCCTTCAAATATATCATCATCTCTCATATTCTGATGTATGGTGCTTGATTACAGTTCCTGTTTACTTCTGCAGTTGTATGAAGCATTGGCAGACCAGTTGACGGACATAGTTGTAAACGCAGTCAGTGCCTTAAAGTTCTTGAGTAGATGTGTTGATGTTTCATTTATATAGATCCAGTCAATTTGAAAATAAATTACTTCAACCAGAATTAAGTTTGAGTTTTTTTTTTTGTTGGTATCTACTCTTTCTATGACATTCACTTAGCATATTTAACCTACATTATTGGTTACCTTTGTCTCATTTTAACTTGCAATTATCAATGCTTGGATCTGACAGGTGCTCTGCATTCGCAAGCCTGAAGAAGGAATTGATCTGTTCATGGTCGAGATTATGCACATGCGCCACAAGTTCGATGTTGATACACGTTTGGTATGTCAATGGGTTTTTCTTACATTTCTCAATTTTTTTAATAGTACATATAGAGTGGTAATGCATATTTCATTTTTAGGTTTGCAAAATTCCATAAACTCTATTGTATTAAGGCAAAAATATAATTTTAGCGGTAGCAGTATCATTCAGGAGTATTTTATTGCCTGTTATTCAATGCNTTTTTTTTTTTTTTGTTTTGAATGTTATGTGAATTGAATTAATGTTGCTTGGCTTTAGTTTCTCTGCCCTTTCCTATATGTTTTCTTTTTGGGTGGATGGGTGGGATTTGGATGTTTCTTTTTTTTTTTTGTTTAACCCAAAAGTAGATGGACATACAAACATGTTATTAGAAGTCTTTATATTTTATGAATTTTGTGACTTTGCATACATGATCTACTCCATGGTAGATACTTTGAAGGGTAATGACATAACCTCCTTGTCATCCTGTCGTTGCAAATATGTTGGATCTTATTTTCTTAATTTGTTTTCCATATTGGGATCAGTTACCAGCATGTCATTGCAAATACTTTGATGCCATATGCCTTGAGGTAATTCTTGCTTGCCTTTGTTAAATTCTTCATCTAAACATTATGTGTTCCTCTTCTTCCAGGGATGCATCCAAGAGTTTTAGTTGATGGTTTTGAAATTGCCAAAAGAGCAACACTACAATTCCTTGACAAATTTAAGACTCCTGTTGTGATGGGTGATGAACCTGACAAAGAGATACTGAAGATGGTAGCAAGAACAACATTAAGAACAAAGGTTCTAAACTTTCTCCTCTTACATTCCTTCAAATATATCATCATCTCTCATATTCTGATGTATGGTGCTTGATTACAGTTCCTGTTTACTTCTGCAGTTGTATGAAGCATTGGCAGACCAGTTGACGGACATAGTTGTAAACGCAGTCAGTGCCTTAAAGTTCTTGAGTAGATGTGTTGATGTTTCATTTATATAGATCCAGTCAATTTGAAAATAAATTACTTCAACCAGAATTAAGTTTGAGTTTTTTTTTTTGTTGGTATCTACTCTTTCTATGACATTCACTTAGCATATTTAACCTACATTATTGGTTACCTTTGTCTCATTTTAACTTGCAATTATCAATGCTTGGATCTGACAGGTGCTCTGCATTCGCAAGCCTGAAGAAGGAATTGATCTGTTCATGGTCGAGATTATGCACATGCGCCACAAGTTCGATGTTGATACACGTTTGGTATGTCAATGGGTTTTTCTTACATTTCTCAATTTTTTTAATAGTACATATAGAGTGGTAATGCATATTTCATTTTTAGGTTTGCAAAATTCCATAAACTCTATTGTATTAAGGCAAAAATATAATTTTAGCGGTAGCAGTATCATTCAGGAGTATTTTATTGCCTGTTATTCAATGCTTGAGCCCTTTGAATTAGTAGCTATTGTACGTCTTGCTTCTGTTGCCATAGGGTTTCCTAATGATTTTCAGTGTTTGTTTTCAAGATTGGTTGATATTTTGTGGAATTTGTTTCTTGACGAATTTCTTAGCAGTCTGTTAACAGCTTAGGCCCAGAGATTTGGACCTTTGTTCTTTTTGGAGGGGGGATTAGATATCTTTTTTGCAGTAGGAACTCTTGAACCTTTTTTCCATCTATATTATTTCTCAAGTTACTTCACAGTGATCACGCAAATATATATTTGAAATGAAAGGGTGCCTTTGTCGTACTTTTTCCCATACCTCCTCCTTTCTTTATTCATGGTTTTTGAATCTGTTAATTTCACGGCATTCTTGGGACTTATTCCAGCTAAGTCCTTCAGTTAAACAAGTTTTACAAAATTCTTTTCTGAATCTTGAAGTGGATCAATGGAGAAAATGTTGAAAGGCTAATAGCTAAAGTTCCAAATATGAAAAAAAGCTGAATTGATCAAATTATCACCTTGCATTATTCCTTGTAGACATGTTGAGCAAATTCTCAATCAATTTTTTTTTTCTTTTGGTTTTGACTTGTGATTTTCAAGTAACAAACCAGTACTAGGCAGTGGTGTTGCCCAAGAGTCTGAAAGGTTCCTGCAGTGTGCTTAGTGTGAGATGATTCTTTTAATTTTCCTATGCTCTTCTTATAGCTGGTAGGATTTTTAAGAGAAAGTTCAGAAGTTGGTTGACAGCATGTATGCTTCAGTTGGGGGATTATTTTTGGCAGGTTTTATTTGACGACCTACCTGCATGCCAAATTTTGTGTGCTGCATGCGTGGTTACATTTGCTTGCATGCACATGGCTGTATTTTGATTAGAGAGAGTTTCAATGAGTTACCATTTCATACCCCCCAAATAACCACCTCTTGCATATGTTGTACATTGGTTGTTTTGTAGGTTGAGGGTCTAGTCCTTGATCATGGCTCAAGACATCCAGACATGAAGCGGCGAGCAGAGAACTGTTACATTTTGACTTGCAATGTATCACTGGAGTATGAGAAAAGGTAAAACATAGATAAATAATATATATATTTTTTTTGATGGTTGAGATAAATATACTTTGCTAGGTCAGTAATAGCTAAATTTAAATCAATGATGATTTTGGTCCTGAGGTTCATCGTGACATATATGCACTCCCCCGATACCAACCAAAAGAATATCTCTCTTTGAATATTGCAATTCAAAATACTTGTTTATCGATCCACGAAACAGGACCATGATTTCTTCACTAGGGGAATTATGGGGTGCCACACTAGATAGAATTTTTGTGGAAGGTTCCCTATATGGTAAACCAATGGTTAGTAGTAATAACTAAAGAATCAGTTCTGGGGATAATCCAATTTTCAGCTTTTGAAATAGTTTGAATTCCTACTGCCTGTTTGTAACCTATTATACACATTTTTCTGAGACAATTTTCATGACATTTTGTAAAAAGAGGTGATTTCTTTTTCAAAAACTAATAAGTGTGAGATATATATAAAGTTACCTTTGAAGTTAGCTGTCCTAGTTTCTCGTTATGACTTTGTTGTTAACCCATTATTGGGTTGGATGAATTGTCCACCTTTCATTGGTTTTTGTAACACTTTTTCTCTTATCATCAATAAACTTGCTGTGTCTTGATGAAGAACTTTGAAGTTAATGCTGACTTCGAAACTGAAAACTTTGGATTAGATTTGAACATTTGATAACAGTAACTTGATACTAACTTACGTTTTTCCTCTCAGTGAAATAAATGCAGGCTTTTTCTACTCAAATGCAGAGCAGAGAGAGGCAATGGTTGCAGCAGAAAGGCGTTCGGTTGACGAGAGGGTGAAAAAGATTATTGATCTAAAGAATAAGGTACTGAATTGAGGAGTCATCATTGTAAATACATGGTATTTGTGCTGAGAGTGGTATTTGTATTTTAGTGTTTATATTCGTCGTTTACATGTGCCATTGTCTGCAGGTTTGCTTAGGTAATGAAAACAATTTTGTTGTTATCAATCAAAAAGGGATTGATCCTCCATCGCTGGACCTTCTTGCTAGGGCAGGGGTAAGTTATGCCTAATCTTATAGTCATCGTTTGTGCATTTCTTCCTGCTGCTCCAAGTCATAACTATATTTTTGCCAGACAAACTTAAGCCATATCATAGTTTGAGCCATCAAATTTATGTTTGTCGAGTCTTATGCTTGCTTCAGATTCCTCACGATTTTCAGCAGCTTGAAGACGTCATATTATGTAGTTATGCATGTTTCCACAGTATTGTTGTTTAACAATATGGTTGCATTGTTTACATCATCAAGTAGTTGTTATGAAATATGCAAACCGGTTTATTTTTTCTTTTGTTTTTGTCCCCTTCTTTCAATCAAAGAGAGAAAGTGCAAACTAAAATCTAAAAGATTAGAATGTTTATTGTGAAGTTTTAATGAAAGAAAAAAATATTAATGAAAAGTTTTGATGTGATTAATAGTTTATTGTGGGTGCTTACTGATGTTGAAATTTGCTTTAAACATTCTTTATGCATTATTGGATGTTTCCTTCTTATGTGGTCGTCCATTGGTATGTTTGTGATCTTCAGTTTTTTTCTTTTTATTTCCAATTCCATTTGGATCGGTTTCTACTTAAATAAGAATATTTTTTTTTCTTTTGTCACAGAAATAAATCCTTTTGCACATGCGCTTACACATTTATCAGTTTATTTTGATAGTTTTCTTTTGTGGTTTAATCAATTGGGGTGCTCGTGTTGCTTTAGAATACAAATTATTTAAAGGTAGAAGAATAAACAAAATTGTGGAAGTGAAAGAATAAAATAAGGAGGGGATGGATTTCTAAGAAGAATAAACAAAATTGTGGATATAAGTATAGCTGCCATAATGGTCTACCAAACTTTCATGTCATATTTACATGTGAACATTCCCCAGAGTCTTTTTCCAGTATGTTGGTACCTTACTTTCATTGCGCATGCTATGTTTTTGATTTTTCCTGGTTTTTATTTTGATAGATAATTGCCCTTCGAAGAGCAAAGAAGAGAAATATGGAAAGATTGGTTTTGGCTTGTGGTGGAGAGGCTGTTAATTCTGTTGGTGACATAACTCCTGACAGCCTTGGTTGGGCTGGACTTGTATATGAGCATGTTCTTGGAGAGGAGAAATATACGTTTGTGGAAAATGTAAAGAATCCTTGCTCATGCACAATCCTTATAAAAGGTATCTTGAAAGACTTTCACTCTTGGTTGGAGCCTTCAATTCTAGTCATGCTCAGGGACATGCATCATTCCATTGCTAGTGTAAAATCCAAGTGTGATCTAATGCTATTGCAATCTTGGATTGCTCAGGGCCTAATGACCACACCATTGCCCAAATTAAGGATGCTGTTCGTGATGGCCTGAGAGCAGTGAAAAATACTATTGAAGATGAATCAGTTGTACTAGTAAGTTTTGCTTCTAAATCTGTATCCCAAATCTGAAGATGAATACTTGTACCAAAAAGTTTTGCTTCTGAAGTTTTGCTTCTGAATCTGTATTGATGCTTGTGCATCGTATGTGGGATTTTGAGTGTAAGGTAGGTTTTTTGCATAATATTGTTTAATTGCACTACATTTTCAGTTTCTATGCTTCTACTTATAAAACTAATGATAGCCATTATTAGCTGTCAGCAGAGTGCTGGACTAGTTGGTTGATAGAACAGCTAAAATTTATTGAACTTTATGGTTTCTTAGCTTCAGAAGACGAGTCCTTTTTTCTTTTTTTGAATTCTTGTTAAAGAATTGAGTTTCTGGCCTGTGTTCAAATTCAATGTCAAATCTGGTGGATTACAGTCAGAATCTCAGATTCTACTGTTTCTGGCTACATTGCTTTACAACATCCCTTCCCTGTCTGTAAATCAGGTCTTTTGCTGTGTTTCAGGGGGCAGGGGCTTTTGAAGTCGCAGCAAGACAATACTTAATCAATGAAGTAAAGAGATCGGTTCAGGGGGTATGAATTCTTATTCCTCGTCTTCTTGCTGCAGATATACTGCAGCCCTTGTTTATTTTTTTAAAAATTTAATTGGGGTTTATGAACTCTGAACAGCGTGCCCAACTCGGAGTTGAAGCTTTTGCTGATGCTCTTCTTGTGGTGCCCAAGACACTTGCTGAAAATTCCGGACTGGACACCCAAGATGTGATCATTTCTCTCACGGTATATCTTTAGTGGCTGCTGTGAATTTCATGGGAAAGTAAATTATTTTGCTTGTGAAGATAATTTCATTCGACTTTGTCTTGCCGGTGTTCAGGGAGAGCATGACAGGGGGAATGTTGTGGGGCTAAACCAGCACACGGGTGAACCTATCGACCCTCAAATGGAGGGTATTTTTGACAACTATTCTGTGAAGCGGCAAATCATAAACTCAGGGTATGTAGAATTTGGAGGTTCACCTCCTTAAAAGAACTGTTCTTATCTTTGCTGCATATGATATTCAAGTACATCAAGGAGACAGCTCCAATGTGCAGCTTCTGATGTGTGTGTGCTTGTATATATGTAGTTTTATACAAAATGTACATGTAATAGCGTTTCTTCTCTGAAGAAAAAACCAATTTCATACCATCGCTACCATCTCAATGGCACTTCTACATTCCCATGAAAAATAATGGCCGGCACCTTTTCCTGGCTTTTCATCAAATACCTGCTAATATTAAAATCTTTATTTTTTCCTCTCAGATGTTTTTTTGTCGATGTTTTCATCATGTCACCATTTTGCTTTAATGTCTTGCAGCCCAGTAATTGCATCCCAGTTGCTACTGGTAGACGAATTCATTCGTGCAGGGCATAACATGCGGAAGCCAAATTAGAACTTTGCTCTAAGCATGTCCGTGCATGCTTTCATCAGCCTGAGTGTAGAAAAAGATGGTTTTGGTTCCATAGAGGGTTCTTGTGCTATGGCCTCTGAAAGTTTTGTCAAGAACGAACCACCTTTGATGTTTCCAATATCCGAACTTTGATTTCTCGAGACTATCAGGCAGCATCTCTCTAACAAAACTTTGATATTTTGTTCTGTTTGAATGCACACTGCATGGCCCTTTAATTGTGTCCCGATTTTGCCCTCGCGGCCCTTGTTTCGCTTGCTTTATTTGCTGTCTTCGTCCTTGGTTTTGCTCTAATTGGGTAGCATTCCCAATATATGGCTTGTCTGCTTCACTGGCGAACTAGAGACTAATGTTATACATGCCTCTTAAGCTGGCTATTTGTTTAGCCCTCGTGGTGGCAATTGTTAAGATGTATATTTATAATCCAGTCCGTTAGATCGGGTGCAGTGATTTGTGGCGTGATTAAATAGGAATTGATGACTTCGGCAATGTACTAAAACAATCTATGTTGTTAATCTAATTGAGCTTGAGTAGCTCGGCTTAGGTTAGACTTATTTTTGGCTCCTTCAAGTTTGACTTGTTTGAAAAACAAACCCCAAGTTTTTTAAGGGTTTGATTGGGCTCGTTCGACTGTCTGTCCTATCCATTGGAGACGGAAGCCTCATCAGCAGGGGCCCAAGCTTTGGGAGCTGGTGGAGCCTAATAGCATCATCCTATAATGCGTAATCTTCAGCAAGTCCTATATCTGAGGGTATTCGGTGGACTCGGCTCGTCTTTAGAGATCGTATCTGAGTCCTGTGTCTAAGCCTTTTCAGAGAGCTTCACAGGGGGTGAAGCCTGTTATCAAGGATTGCATGGCTTGAAAATCAAGCAGTACTTAGGTTTATAGCCGAGACCAGACTTGGGTGGTTGAAACCCCAGGAATGCTACACTTATTATAAGCTTGAATTAGATGTTGATTAGCCAACCATATATTTTCTTACACAGTCCCACAATTAAGGTTGATAATTGAATTGAGCTATTCAAACTTCACTCGAATAAGACTTAATTCAAGTTCGGCTCATGTTACATATGATTAAACAAATTTTTAGACTTATTTAAAAAACAAGTTTCAAAAATTCAACTTGAACTAACAAAATTTGTCTTTTTTACATGTAAAATAATCAAAATATTCAAACTCAACTTGTTTTGAGTTTGGCTCATCCCAGCTTTTACAATTATTTAGGTTCGTTTAGAAAATCGAATTCAAGGCTCGGCTCGAACTTGAAAAATTCGGTTCGATTATCAGTCCCGTCTGCAACTGCTTTCAATTTAGAGCGAAATTCGAAAAACAAATACTGAAAAGCATGTAAAAATCCAACAGAAATATTTAGTGAGCTACAAAATAATACAAATAGTCAATAATCTAAAAATACCACCAAAATTCAAGATGTTTTGCCAATGGCAATCTAATTCCATCCCCAAATAATTGGTGCTCTGCTAAATGTAGAGAAAGGTCGCACTGGTAGCGGGTGTGTACTACTCAAGAAGAAGGACTTGAACTAAACTCATAGAGATTCCTTCGCTTCTTGTTGAAGCATGTATTCTTTCTTCATTTCTTCCAAAACTGAGTCATTGGTGCTGCAAGAAAAAAGATAGCAATGTCATACTATTCTGTCAAATAGGTAACTAAATTGCAGCATTTCTTGTGCTTTTCAACCCTCCAAGTCAAATTTCTTACAACTTTTTAAAGGAAATGGAACATTTTTGCTTTATTCAGTGTGACAACCCATCCAGTTTTAAATCGGCCGTATTGGTGGTTCAAAATTTCAGTTTCACCATGGATTTAGTCACAGCCAAAGACAGAACAAAAGGAATGTGTAAAATTAGTCATATATTTTGTGGCACTTGTCAACACTACACACCTGTGCCCAAAAGACTTGGAAACCCGCACCTACAACTTTGGTGGTGGCAGGCGATACCATCTAAGCTAATAGCAGGGTAGTAACTTGACTCTTCAGGTGATTTCACCCTTCGTTTAATAATTAAAAACTGCTATTTTTGCTTTACCTGTACTTCATTGACTTGACAAAAGCATGTTGCAAAGCAAAGCTTAAAAGCATATAAGGAAGCAGTAAGCTAGTATATGCAACAAAAAATTATTGCAAATATGACGGATTTTCAGCTTAATTCCAATTTCCTACGCTGTAGCTAGCTTCACAACTCCAAGAAAACATGCCTATACCTAAACAAAATTGTAAAGAAACAAACAGGAGCAGAAACCAGATAGATAATTATAATCAACTTACTACTGATGAAGGCACTCGTTTAATTCTTTAGCTTGTTTGCGACATTGCCAAACAACGGATAGTGTTCTTCCTACAGCACATTCAGCATATTTTGCAGTGTACTGATCACATGCTTTTAGAGCCTTCTCCTTCATTTTGCTGCGTAAAGCTGCAATTTGATGTGTTACTATTTCTATTTTATGCATACACAGATCTTAAAAGAAATAAAATTGAGAATTAAAATTCAATCAGAATATGTGATACTCAAAAACTGAAAAACAGTCTTCACATAAGAGACCAAATGCATAAGAATAATGTTTTTCAATGACTTAGGCATTGGAGAGAAAGAAGCTTAAGAAATGAACTATTGGCCTCAATGATAAAGTGAAAGACTCCATAAAAATCAAAGTAAAGAAAGCCAACAAGGTAAATGATTATACATGACTATCAAAGGCATTAAAGGGTCACTTCACATCAAAGACAATGCAAGTCCTTTCCAGATATTGCCAAGATTGATATGAGACAAACTCAAAAAAAGAACAAATTAGATTCTCCAAGTCTAAAGAGCCAGCAACGAAATGTCTAAAGCATCTTTGCACATTGTAAGCCACGTTGAACACAAACATGCACAGCAATAGCACGAAAAAATCGCACAGAAGTCATAGGAACAATAAAGTTAGAATTTGAGCACAAAGTAGAAGATGATCCATAGAATTGTAGTTTCAGTTGCCCAATGGACATCTAATGTTCACTTGCTTGACATCATATGATCACTGACAAAGATATTGCCTAAACCCTAACCATGTGGACTTACTTAAATGGAACCATGAGCCATATTTGGGTGTATTGTCAAAGTAGAATAATTCACACCGTTTCTCCAATCAATAATCTAAAGAATGAGCAGAGATGAAGAAAATCTAGCTTACGAAAGCAGAACTATTCTTCTTATCCTTGCAATTGGGTGAAAGTTGAATCATGATATATTATAAAGATAACTCTTGAGTCCATCATCTTCCTCCTGAACATAGTAGAACATACTGTTGGGAACCTCAACCAAATTTATTCTTCTCTCCTCTGGGGTTTGCTGGAATAAGTGTAATCCCAGAAAAAATTAATGCATACCAAAGCCATGGTGAAAACTAGTGCAACAATGCGTCCTAAACAGGATCTCAATCCAAAACCTCTCCCGTTTTCCCCACAAGAAGGAGAATTCAGCAGTACTCTTCCAATGATAAATCACCCAACATTCATATTCCAGACCCAAACTCCACATATTCCACTTCAAATCTTTAAGCCCACGGACCTGATTATGTTTTTATTCATATCAAAATAATCCAAGCAAAATGAATGACTAGACCAAGTCTATCTTTGCCATAATAGATACATACTTCAAGACCCAAATGATATCAATCCCTTTGCACACTATATGGTCAAAGTTGAAAAGCTCTATTCAGTTAAATTAGTGTCTCAGCCTGAAAACGGCCACTGACACTAAGCATCGTCGTCTTGCAAAGGATATAACGTATAATTAGCGCATAGAGAATGAAAGTCCACATGGAAAACATATATCACTAAATAAATGTATTTCTTAGAATCATCCCCAGCTAAAATTCATATATTTGGCATAAACTTCCGACTGATTTTTCGTTGTGAATTAAAATAATGGTAGCTAGAAGCATCACAGGCAAATGTACAAAACTGATTGAATAGTTTCTAATCTGCAAACCCAGTTCATATCATACCATAAAACGTTGATTTCTGTTTATATAACATGCATAGATGAAAGCTTCTAGTAGGGTTTAAGGTGAGGCTTAACGAATACTATACCTTCTTCGACTTTCTTCTTGACGTGATTTTCTCTGGCTTCTTGTACGTATCCCATGATGCTCTTCGCCTCTTGCGACCCCCACGACCTTACAAGGCTTCTCTGTAAATGGAACACTCGTAGATCGACCGAGCCAGTCTCAGTCACTATGTTTTGATTGGAGCAACATTGGGAGATGACTCGAGAATCCCAGGTTTTGATACAGTAGTGTCTCACCTTGGGGGAATTGAGTTCAGTACACCCATGTTCTGCTCTAGCCACGTGTCTAATGTAATATTACAATGTAAATATCAAAATAAAAATAAACAAATTACACAACCATTCTCATATCCCATGCTTTCTCAAATGTCATATTTATCTAACTAGCCAACAGGTCGTGCCTGAAATGCGCTACAACATAAAATTTAAGTGTTTAAAAAATTAATTTATTATATGAAATAATATTTTTTTCTTTTCTTTTTTTACATAATTTTTTTTAAAAAAAATTTACCCATAGTTTTAAAAAAAATTATTTTTTTTTTTAAATACATGACCTCAACAAAATGGGCGGTGTGATAGAAATGTGTTGAGCCACAATATTTGAAAAAAAATTGTATTAAACTACAAATTAATCAAAATGAAATAATTTAATTTATGACAAAAATTGGCGATGTAATAGAAATTGACAAAAAATATATATATATAAAGATAAAATTCAAACTCCTAACTCCCTTAATATATAAATTGCAGCTCCAATTACATCTAGCGACTCTTTATGATCCCTATTGAAAGTACCTATTATAAATGAGGACCATTACAATATCCATTGATGTAACAGGCTTAAGTGTATAATATTTTGAGGTTAAGTTATACATTTATCGAGGGACTAAATTATAATTCATAGAGTAATGACTGATATAAAATTTGTGTTTGGTCATAAATAAATATAATATTCAACGGTTAAATCACACATTTTAAAAATAAAATTACAATGAATTAAGATTATTCATAATCGATCATGAAATTATAAAATGTGGTGATTGATTATGGATAGTTGTGATTTGTCATTTACAAGGTATAATTTGACCTTCAACAGTTGAATTTCTCGATACCATTTTCTCACAATTTTGGTATTATAGTAATTTTCATTATACTTCAAATGGATAGTTTGTGTTATTTGGTCATTTAGAATATTTTATTTTTGTTTCATTTTCTTTGATATGATAAAATGAAAATATTTTCCATCTAAAACAAAACAAAATGTTTAGCTTTGAGAGGATATGGGATTAATTTTTATAGTTGGGGTGAGAATGTGAGAAACATAATAGTAAACTTTAAAGCATACAAAACATAATTTGAACCAAAAAAAAAAAAGTAAATCAACACAAATTCCCAAATTAATTGGGGTTGGGGTGCCAATCAAATTTGCAATTATCGATTTACACTTTTATTCAATCTTGAAAGCGGAAGTCACGTGACGTTCATACCATGTGGTTCTAGATCATTTGACATTTGATTTTGTCATTTTGTTTTTTGTGTTGTATTATGTGATATTTGAAAAAAGATTTCATTTAATTAAAAGAATTCTTAATGTTAAATAATTCAGTTGATTCTTAGATATCTGACATAATATATTACAACCCAAAATTCAAAATCAAGAATAATACTAATAAATAATTCATTTATCTCTAATACTAGCCTAATTTATATAATTAATTAATTAATTATAAGGCCTTCCATGCCCCTGCCGCGCCTTGACAAAAGGAGGCCTTTGACTGTTACCGCCAGCGTGGCACCGTGTTCGAAACTCATAAAACTATCCGCCAACACCCACCATCTGTCGCCTTCCCATTGGCCCAGGACGTCCCTGCTTCACTCTCACCATGATATGACAACCCCCCTCTCTTTTCGGTCCACTTCGTCTTCACAATCACGAGAGAGAGAGAGAGAGAGAGAGAGAGAGAGAGAGACCAGTTCNTAACAGGCTTAAGTGTATAATATTTTGAGGTTAAGTTATACATTTATCGAGGGACTAAATTATAATTCATAGAGTAATGACTGATATAAAATTTGTGTTTGGTCATAAATAAATATAATATTCAACGGTTAAATCACACATTTTAAAAATAAAATTACAATGAATTAAGATTATTCATAATCGATCATGAAATTATAAAATGTGGTGATTGATTATGGATAGTTGTGATTTGTCATTTACAAGGTATAATTTGACCTTCAACAGTTGAATTTCTCGATACCATTTTCTCACAATTTTGGTATTATAGTAATTTTCATTATACTTCAAATGGATAGTTTGTGTTATTTGGTCATTTAGAATATTTTATTTTTGTTTCATTTTCTTTGATATGATAAAATGAAAATATTTTCCATCTAAAACAAAACAAAATGTTTAGCTTTGAGAGGATATGGGATTAATTTTTATAGTTGGGGTGAGAATGTGAGAAACATAATAGTAAACTTTAAAGCATACAAAACATAATTTGAACCAAAAAAAAAAAAGTAAATCAACACAAATTCCCAAATTAATTGGGGTTGGGGTGCCAATCAAATTTGCAATTATCGATTTACACTTTTATTCAATCTTGAAAGCGGAAGTCACGTGACGTTCATACCATGTGGTTCTAGATCATTTGACATTTGATTTTGTCATTTTGTTTTTTGTGTTGTATTATGTGATATTTGAAAAAAGATTTCATTTAATTAAAAGAATTCTTAATGTTAAATAATTCAGTTGATTCTTAGATATCTGACATAATATATTACAACCCAAAATTCAAAATCAAGAATAATACTAATAAATAATTCATTTATCTCTAATACTAGCCTAATTTATATAATTAATTAATTAATTATAAGGCCTTCCATGCCCCTGCCGCGCCTTGACAAAAGGAGGCCTTTGACTGTTACCGCCAGCGTGGCACCGTGTTCGAAACTCATAAAACTATCCGCCAACACCCACCATCTGTCGCCTTCCCATTGGCCCAGGACGTCCCTGCTTCACTCTCACCATGATATGACAACCCCCCTCTCTTTTCGGTCCACTTCGTCTTCACAATCACGAGAGAGAGAGAGAGAGAGAGAGAGAGAGAGAGAGACCAGTTCGCTGGATCGAAGTAGGTAAGCATCGATTCTCTTTACTCTTAGGATTAGGTGTTCGATCTTTTGGATTAACTGTTCGCTTTTTGTAGATCTGTGATACTTGATTGTGTATTTACCATTATTGGATTGTCATATAGTAAGGTTACTTTATTTGTGCTTCGATCTGTTTGATTTCAAGCTCTGATGTTATGTTTGGTCGCTAGAAATTCTATGCAAGGAAAAATAAAATAAAATAAATTAACCTTCTGAATTATTAGATTTTGTTTTGCTTGTTTAGCTGGAAATTATTTTTCGAACAAACGAAGGATAATGTTTCAATTTGTTTGAGGGACACCTGAACAACATGTGTAGCCTTATGTTTGTAACTATTTGTATATGCTTAGATTTCTCAGTACCCAAATAGAATGTTGGATCCTCGGTTTGATTGCTGAGAAATTGAACAAAACGGGACCAATGACGATTTTTGTTCTTGGATGTCAAGTATTTTTGAAGAGCAATGCTACAGGACCTTATTTGGGGATTTAGGGACCTAATGATGTGGCCTCAATACAACCATTAGATTAGTTGTAAGTTTCAACGGTAGATGGAGTCCACAATCAATTCAATGGTTGTATATCATTAGATCCCTAAATAAGGTTCAAATAGCATTTCTCATTTGAGAATTGTGATCATAGAGAATAAATCTTTTTATCAGGTCAAGCGTGTCTGTTTTATAAGATATTTGAGCAAACCTTAGAGAGGATTAGATCAGAACCAAGCTGGTGATTAGTTTATAAAATGGTTGCAAGTTATAAGCTTTTTTAATAACCTGGTGCTTAAAATTTATATTTGTCTTTGGAAGAATAATAACATATATGAGCTACCTCACAGGATTAGTTCATAACCCCGTTGCAAACATTTTTCTAGATTGATGGCATTTTCTGATATTTGGTTCGGAGTATTTGTGTGTTTCACATTATTTTAATGATGATTGTGTTTAAAACTTGTGAAGATTTAGGTAATAGTCGACTGTAACCAAGATGTTGCCTACTGAGACGTCGCGTGAAGATAATGTGTACATGGCCAAGCTGGCCGAACAGGCTGAACGATATGAGGAAATGGTTGAGTTCATGGAGAAAGTTGCAAAGACTCTGGATGTCGAGGAGCTGACAGTGGAGGAAAGAAACCTCCTCTCTGTTGCTTACAAGAATGTGATTGGTGCTAGGAGGGCTTCGTGGAGGATCATCTCTTCCATTGAGCAGAAGGAGGAGAGCCGTGGAAATGAGGACCATGTTAAACTCATTAAGGAGTATAGGGCTACGATTGAGGCTGAACTATGCAAGATCTGTGATGGGATTTTGAACCTTCTCGAGTCCCATCTTGTTCCCTCAGCTTCCTCTGCTGAGTCCAAGGTTTTTTACTTGAAGATGAAAGGTGATTACCATAGGTACCTGGCTGAGTTTAAGACTGGGACAGAGAGGAAGGAAGCGGCTGAGAGTACTTTGTTAGCTTACAAGTCTGCCCAGGTTGGTGGAATAATGTGTTACCTTGTGACTCGTTTTGCTAAATAAACCAATCTTCTGAGTTGTTTTTGTTTTCAATGGTATAGGATATTGCTTTGTCTGAACTGGCTCCCACTCACCCAATAAGGCTGGGACTTGCACTTAATTTCTCCGTGTTCTATTACGAAATCCTTAACTCACCTGATCGTGCCTGCAACCTTGCAAAACAGGTACTTTTATACTCATTGATTTATTTACTTGATTCAACTATTTGGCTGTGGCCTGATAGATAATTTGTATATGCTATTTGTCCATGAATGAAGTTGGATATCTTGGCCAATAATATTGTGAAAGCAAATTATAATATTGAATTTGGGTTCTCTCTCATCAAGGAGGATTCTAGTAGCAGTCTTTGTTTAGTCATGAATGGACCATTTACATGTGGATATCTGTTTACGTGTTTGTAGCCATCTTATGAAACAAATTCTCCTTTCAAGTAGCATCTGTAGAAGAATGATACATCAGTAGTATTTGAATGATACTAATGGTATTATGGCATGAAATTAGACTATGCTGATACACATAGAAAACTTGTTTCGTTCTTTGGGACTGATGCAGAAGTCCATCTCTCTGCATATGTTGATCGAGGACATGTTGAATATTCCAGTAATGGGTCTATGCATATGATGGTGTTACAGTTGCACTTCTAACTTTTGACGGTTATGATGCTTTGCTTTCTGTTGGTGGGAAGACCAAAAATGCCAGTCTACATCCCTTGAGCCCTGGCATGATGATTTTATTTCTAATTTTCTCTCACTCTGTTGTCAAAACCATGTTTGTCTGGCAGGCTTTTGATGAAGCTATCTCTGAACTGGATACATTGGGTGAGGAATCATACAAGGACAGCACATTGATCATGCAACTCCTCCGAGACAACTTGACCCTGTGGACATCTGATATTACGGTCTCTCTCTCTCTCTCTGTAGTTCAGTCTTGCTTTCTGTTTTGAACTTATGTCCATTGCCCTTGCACCCATTAATACAACTTGGTCTGATGTTAAACCTGTTTTGCCCAGAGTTGAGGCATCAAGTGGAATGATCTAATCTGAGCTTAGAAGTTTCATTTTAGACCTGAGCTAAACACTTAATTTCAAAAGAAACACGGTCACAATAACACCTTTCACGATATCAGAGTTCTCAAATCCCAGCTGCTTGTTCAGCACATCTTTTAACCTGAGTCAAGTGTATGTTGGTGTAAACTCCGAAGAAATAAACCAACTTGGGGCCAGTGCATGTGGAATCAGTAAAAGTACTACAATTTTCAACCAAAAAAGAGGTTTTGAAAGAATGTAACTGTGCTGCCCAATCCTCATGTCCTTGTTCTCTACCTTATTAGCCCTTGAGTGGACGATTATGCATGTCAACTGACTTGTGCTTTTGCTCATGTTGAACATCTTTCCAAATCTTCTTCCTTCATGGTGTTACTGTTTCTTGATCAGTGTCATGTATTACAGGATGAAGCGGGGGATGAGATCAAGGAAGGGTTGAAACGTGAGTCAGGCGTGGGGCAATAGTCATGAGCTCATTGAATTACCTCTGTACTTCTGTTTGTGCCTTAATATATATTTCATTTGGGTAGTTGCAGTACGACTTGATGCACTTGAAGTACTTCGACTGCTACTTTGGTGCTCAGTGTTAGAATCTTATTTATTATTAGGTTGTTTTAGTGATGTTTGATGTTTATGTTGTTAGGGATGATGGTTTTTTTTAGTCTTGTTCGTCTGGGTATGACAGGTTGAGGTGATTACTTTGGTCGTTTTGTTTCTTAATGCTATTGTTCTTTTCTTTTCAGAAGTAGTTTGCTGTCATTGGCGTCACCACGAATTGCATTGCTCCAAAACCTACCTAACAAGCTTTAACGCTAACCTTTGGGAAATTCTGAAGGATCAAACTTATTGTACTTGAGGAATGGTATGAAAAAGGAGGGGTGAAAAATATTTCGTTAAAAACAAGTAAAGAAAAATGACGTAGAACTATATTTCAATTGAATGAATTCAACCCTAAAAACGATCTTTCTAAGTCCCGTAGAATGGGGGGGTCGAAGGAATTGATTGAGAAATTTCTCTTATTGGGGGGGGGTCGAAGGAATTGATTGAGAAATTTCTCTTATTCTTGTGTAAATTATTTTTATTATAAAGTTATGATTGGATCTGCATGTGTTTAGATTGTAATTGAATCTAAATTATGTTGGGTAACGAGAATAATCTTCTCTTCTAATAATAATATAAACAAAATAGAAAAATTTTGATGGAAAGACGGAATTTGATAATAGTCAAAAAAAAAAAAAAAAAGGAAACAGTTTCAATTTGAACATGAATCCATCATTAAATTTGGTCTTAGTTACTCCTCCTCAGGGTAGAAACCATGTGCCAAGAAGCAACCTACAAGGAACATGAAAGATTACGAAGCCCAAAAAAAAAAAAAACAGTTTCTCCCCATGTTTTTAAATGACCTGTTTTCGTAAGCCTTCAAAAGAACATACCATCTAACTGATATCTTTGAGTATAGGGTACTACCTACAATCATACAATTGACTATCAATCTCATCGTGACGTTTGAGCTAAACCTTCATGAATCATGAGTTCCACACTCGTCATTCGTATTTGGCTTGTGGGTTTGCTAGAAAACTAAGCTCATATGCCTTGGGGAAGGGTCTTGAAGTTGCAATTGTCAAACTGCCCACAAGCAAGGCCCAACTTGGTGCCACCAGCAATCCCTCACGAGATAAATATTCTAATTTCGACACAAATAACCAATTTTTGATCAGATTAAAGAGAAAACTAATCGATGTATGTACAAGTTAGACTTAAACACTCTTAACCGTTAAACCAAACAACAAAACAGCCCACCACTACTAGCAAGCCCAAACTTGGTGCCACTTTTTCCTCTCTCTCTCTCTCGGGACTTTCACAACCTCTGTGGGAATGTAAGTCCCATCGAGTTTTGATAATAACTTTAGGTTGAATGTCCCCATTACCTCATAGAAGCTTAACATGAGTAGTCAATTCATACCCTCAAAAATCCAAACACTTACCTCTCAACCTGGTTTCATGATTTAGGCATCGAGTGACCAATTTTGAAGGAAAAAAAATACTCTAGGGCGAGGGGACGGTGGTGGTGCCTTTTTTGTTCCCCTGGGATGTGGGTGGAGTTTTTTTCTTTCTTTCCTTGCCTTCTTTGTGAGACAAAAATGCAAAATAGAGTAAAGAGTTGTCTCAAATATGAATAACAGACCAAATCAATGTGGTGTGACTACACCCAAAAATAACCAAACTGTTCAAATGTCTCAGCATGTTCCAATGCTAGGTTTTAGGGTACACTGTCCTTCCCTAGAGCATCCATGGCATGTTCCCAATTTCTTTGAAAAAAAAAAAAAAGATTCTTAGCTTAACATGCACATCTCAATCAATGTCTTCCCTCTCCCATCCTTTTTGACTGATTCAGTCAACAATTCCCATTCCCTTCTTTACATGAATAGCATGGGTATTTCATCATTCGCACATGATGATTCTCTCTCCTCTTTCCGTCTTTGATGACATCTTTTTTTTTATCTCTCTCTGTTTTTAAACCTAAATCTTTCATATGAATCTTCTTTCTAGAAGAAAAGTAACTTGTTTGGGTCTTTTACTAGGCCAAGGCACCGACTTAGTAATCTTTGCCATTAGATTAGAACACTGCATTTCAATGGAATATATCCCACAACTGATACAAGAACAACCTCCTTTTCAACTGATTCTAACTACCAGGTTCTTTTATAGCTAGGTATTTTAGCCCTTTAGGTTATGGCCCATTTTCACCGAAAGGTTATCTTTTCCCGTGATTCTCCGGTCCTACGTCATTAACTCAAAGTTATGCGTTTAATGTCTATTTCATCTCTAATTTTCTAATTGTGTGTTTTTGGTTTTTAAGATTTCTAATTTACATCTATGTGTTCTAATTCCAAACGTTCGTAAAAAAATCGTTAACGCCTTTGATCACGCACGAATCACGTGAGATTAAATAGACATAAATTAGGAATTTTAGGGACTAAATAAATACAAAATTAAAAAATTTAAGGATCAAATAGACACAAAATTAAGAACCACGTGATTGGTGGGCGTCAACGATTTTTTTACGGATATTTGAAATTGGATCACATAAATACAAAATAAGAGTCTAAATGCATACTTTGAAAATTAAAAGTGTATTTTACCTTTTTTCTTTTTGGGGTCCAATATAACATGAATGGTGGAATTTTTTTCTAACTACAAATAAATTAAAATAAAAATTATAATATGAAATGTAAATTTTTCGATACCGTAGCTATGTCGTGTCGTATCGTGTCGTGTCGGTAACTCTTAATCGAACATGGGTGGGCGCCATGTTCTAAAGGAAACATGGAAGACTTTGGAGTACCTATAAATGGGAGAAAAAGTTTTTTTCCCTGCTGATAAGCGAACTTTCCAAAGATGACAGCAATATGAGAGAGAAATGGGCGTTCAAAGTTTTATAGTACAGTAAACGGCTGCTAGATCCTTTGGTGGGATATGCGTTTTTGTTTTTTGAGATTTCCTAGCCTTTCGGCCGACCACTCCCCTATACAGCATATTCCACAAAAATTAGCACTCACGAAAATTCAAATTTAAGATATTTAAATTATAATTCATTTTATAAAATAGCGCGAAACCCTCCCTAATTAAGAGGCTCTTAATATTGGTAACTACCTCATATTTGGCTTAGAACTGCCTAGGTAGTTTACCTGCTAGTTAGTTAATGCCACTTTAATTCAGTCATTAACCGTTATTTTCAAAAGCAAACAAAAATAATTCGAATAAAATTGACGAGGTAAACGCTTTAGATGTGGTTAATAAGTCTCTGCATGTCCACCTCCGCTTAGCAATTGGTTTGACAGATAAAAGGAGTAGTTGTTTTGGTAGTTCAATTGAGGAAGAGTTGGACCCGTCTCCTTGTTTGAATCACCGACAGTTTGGGCAAGTTTGTAGGTTATTTTTGGAATCCACTTTCAACTTGTGTCCGATTTTTCTAATACAATCTTCTATTTTTCGTAAGGGAAAAAAAAGTAAAATTTATAATATAAAACAAAGTAGATTTCAATAAGTCTATCCCACGGTCTCAAATAGACTCATCTAACGGCCACCAACATCTCTCTCAAAATTATTTATATTTCACCATACTTTTAGACACGAATTACTCCTACTCATAAATAAAGAAAGCAACAAACGCTTATTTCATAAAGGGTATTGGCTTATTCTTCTTGATAATCATGTGGCAAAGTTGACAACAGCTCAAATTGTCTAATGGATTGGATTATATACAAATTTAATTTTTTGTATTGTAATTCAACTAAGTTAAATGTTGGAAGCGTAAAAGTAAATTAAAAACTTAAAATCTTAGGGTAAATATTGTATAATAAGTCTGTTTGAAGCTGATTTTTTAGTTGAAAAATTAGGATTAAAAAGTCCACTCAAGTTGAAAAAGTTCGAAGGAGTAATTTTTTTAGCTTTTTTGTGTCAAAATAAAAAAAATAATTATATATATGTATAATAATTTTCAAAATTTTTAATGAATATAATATATTTTAAAAATTATGTGGGACCTACAAAAACATTAAAAAATAAGAACATAAACTAATAAAATCAACTTCTGAATCAACCTAAATAAATTTTTTTAGATCAAAAAAACTATTCTATAAGTTGATAAAAAAATCAAAGTTCAAACGGACCTGGTTTATTTTGTTCCAAATTCCTTAAAAACTATCTATTTAAGTTAAGTCCAAATAAGTCGAATGTTAATTAATTAGAAAACTAGTGGGCAAAGTGCACGTGAATTTTCATTGAGAAAGTAATACATAAGGTGGTTGCTTCTATGTAAGGTTATTCTATTAGATATTGCGTGAAACCTTATGTGATTAGAATCAATGTGCATAGAACATTACGTGCATAATTATATAGAATTTGTGTCACCACTCTTGCAAGAAAATCAATTTTAAACATCCATTCAAGCCCAAGCATCATGAATCATCACTATTGTTTAGAATCAAGATATTGTAAATTAGTTCGAATTCCCACTAATTTACGCAACTAATTATGAGGTCAATGCCACTCAAAGTCAAAGGGCACCTCGTTGCACCCAAAGGCCACTATCAATAGATTTTTTTTTTCTTTGTTTAACAGTTAGAGATATTCGGATTAACTTACCTGCACCTCTTTTTTTCAGTCTGGTTAAAGACATATCATTTACGCCAGGATTAGGACATTCATGAAAGGTAAATTTCTCATAATTTGGGTTCAAGAGATTATCAATATTCAAATTCAGGACGTATGAATTTATAATTCCTCCTTGTTATCACTTGAGTTGCCCTCGAAACTTAACAATAGATTCCACAAACCCATAATTTATCAGCGTTTCCATATATCATTTGTTCCACTTATAAATATAATAGAGTTCTGAACTTCTGATATGGCATTAAAAATTTATTTTTGGTACCATATTTTTTATTTTTGAAGGATTACTTTGGTCCCTCATATTTTTAATTTTTGTCAGTTTGTTCTGTATTAATTATGCAAATTTAGTTTATCAAGTTTTCAAAGAATGCCGCTCAAATATAGTCACACGCTAGTCAATTTAAACAGTTATTTTCAACTAAAGCACCGTGACACAAAATGAAAACTTAAAGAATAAAAGTGACAGAATTGAAAAAATAAAAGACCAAAATTACACAAAGCATCCTGTATTTTACTCTCTCTCTCTCTCTCTCTCTATATATATATATATATATATATATAATACAAGAACAAGAATATGTGGTGGGGGCATAGAGTTTAATTGGGGAAAAGGGTGCAAAGATAACATGGGGGGAATGGCCAGCATGCAGAAATTCTGCTCTACATATTTATCAACCCCTTTTAAACTTGTCTGTATAGGGAAGGGAACCGCTTACATGCAGTCTCAAAGTGTATCTGCACAGCAAACCACATACAGCACACACACAGTCAGTAATCATTTATCGGTGCATGTGGCCTTGTTATTGTAAGCCATAAACGGTTCTCTATTGTCATACCCCACCCCGGATCAGATGGGGTGGGCGGCGGATCAATCGTCATTCCATTAACCAATTAATCCTGTACATAATAAATACAAATTACAGTGAAAGATAAATAATAACATGATCTATTCCACCGACTTAACGAATATCAGAAAAATAAACTGGACATTATCAACATCATTACTAAATTCNACCCCGGATCAGATGGGGTGGGCGGCGGATCAATCGTCATTCCATTAACCAATTAATTCAGTACATAATAAATACAAAATACAGTAAAAGATAAATAATAACATGATCTATTCCACCGACTTAACGAATACCAGAAGAATAAACTGGACATTGTCAACATCATTACTAAATTTATGTTAAACTATAATTAAACTGTAAAGTTCACTACTCTAAATATAAGCAATACTGTTCCTAAAATAAGTAAACATTTGTCTCAAAACTGTAGAAGATATTTATTCCTAGAGACCTATAATAAAATAAATCTGTAAATCCTCTAATCATTTGTTTATCTACATACTTATTCCTCATCCTAATTCTGNTCTAAATATAAGCAATACTGTTCCTAAAATAAGTAAACATTTGTCTCAAAACTGTAGAAGATATTTATTTCTAGAGACCTATAATAAAATAAATTTGTAAATCCTCTAATCATTTGTTTATCTACAGACTTATTCCTCATCCTAATTCTCACATGAAAAATGTTAAATATTTGTATGAGCACAATAACTCACGAATAACAACTATTTCTAATGAAGTGTGAAAATAAATTCTACAGTTTATATACGAAAATAAACTTTGATGCATACATAAGTACAAAAAATTGTATCTCAAACCCTCTCACATAATCATTTAAACAAAATAATCTCATGATCACAAATAAATTTATAAATGAAAAGACATTGATAACCCAAAACACCACTCATTTTCACAAATAACTTTATAAATGAAAAGACATTTATAACCCAAAACACTTACAGGCACATTCAATTCTAAATTTATTTGTCAAATCATGATTGTTACCATTAGTCTAAGAACTGACACAATCTCTTTTTACTACTAGTCTGGTTACTGACCTAGTCTTTTGTTACTATTAGTTTGGTAACTGGTCCAGTCTTTTGTCATCATTAGTNATAAATGAAAAGACATTTATAACCCAAAACACTTACAGGCACATTCAATTCTAAATTCATTTGTCAAATCATGATTGTTACCATTAGTCTAAGAACTGACACAATCTCTTTTTACTACTAGTCTGGTTATTGGCCTAGTCTTTTGTTACTATTAGTTTGGTAACTGGTCCAGTCTTTTGTCATCATTAGCCTGATGACTGACTCTGTCTTTTAAAACATGATTTTCATGCATACCAAAACTATCGTTTTCGTTCCAACGCATACAAAATTTCTTTTTCATTACCAAAACAATGATATAAAATCATTTCACAAGTTTTCTAAAATTCAAATGTATAACAGTTCACAATTGCAAAATATTTAATTACAACCCCAAACACCAACACATATATCATATATATGAAAAATTCACACGCACGCACCCATACATTTTATATAAAAAATCCTTCCAAAAGAAGTAGTAAACTACTTACTTTGATTCCCAAAATTCAATTCAAAGTACTATTTCTCAACCTCAATGCAATCACCACCTAATCTAAAATAACATATTACAATCAATCTCTATTTCTAATTTTGTCGTTTTGCGATTCTACATTTAATTTTTATATTTTTTAGCCATTGATATATACTTAATCCTTTACATATAAATATCCTTTCTAATATGAGGTAATAGAGTATAGAAGTAGTCTGGGCTATTCAAAAAAAGTTTCTAAAGTTCTAGGGTCAAATAATAATTTTTAAAATTTTTGGGGTCAAAGTATAATTTCATTAAAAAACAAATTTTCTTTTTTCGTGCTGCCATAAATTTTCTAGAATTCTATTCTTACAATTTACCAAGTAAAAAAGTGGTTAAAAATTTAATTTCAAAGAATATAGGAGTCTAACTAAAGTTCTTTGAAGTCAAAGAGGTGAATTATGTAATTTCTGGACTTTGTCTTCTTCCGCCTACGAAATTCCGAGGTTATTTGTTTTGCCACGACAACTTCAATCCTTTTCTTTTTTAACCTATTGATTAACCAACTAAAAATTTAACTTCAATATAATAAACGAATACCATAAAACTTATTTTGTATGTGTATATATACATATTATGCATTATCATTATCATAAATTTAATATTATGTGATTGAATAAACTACAAAATCCATCAAATAAATAATAAACTCACACCTTTAAGGGACCTAACTCACTTGTCTTCTTCCTCCTTCTTTCTTCTCTCTCTCACATTTTTTTTTCTTTGTTCACCGGACGGGCTCCTCCACAAGTCTTCTTACCAAAAGACCCTGCAGACCTAAATATATTTATATATATACGAAAGGGTTTGACCTATTCAACAATTCTATTTCATTTAAACCACGTGTATAAGAGTTCTAATAATTCTCTCTAGAATAAGATTTTTATTAGTGTATAACTACTCTTAGGTGGCTAATGGACCAAAATAAAATAATAATATTTTTTGGGTAATTACATCTATGACTCCAAAGTAAAGAATCAACTAAAACTAAAGGCCATTTTGTCAGAGAGTGATAGCAATTTTCTTCTGGTTTTTGTAATTTTTTTTCCAAAAATGAAATGGTACCGAGTAGGAATGAAGACAGATGTAAATCCCCATCAATTAATACATGTTATGAACAACGTTGATACTATTACCAAAACTTTTATTAAATTTTACTTTCAATAGGTTTCATTTAATATTTTCAATATGAGCTATTGATTATGATTTTAGAGGAATACAAAAAAGAAATTAATACGAATGCGGAAATTAAGACATATGCCATAAAGGTAAAGAATTTGGTTAGTATGTCTTTACACCGTTGTGAATGTGAACAATCAAGAGTAAAGTATATGAGATTTATGTGATTCAATGTAAATTCTACGTATGTCAATGAAAATCCTTTTTCCACTATATCAAAATCGTAATAAAATTACAACTATTTGTAAACATCATTTAATAACTATAAATTTTGGTTCAACTAAAAACCTAGTTCCAATAAATCTAATACACTCAATTATGATAATTTATATACCAGATTTATATTAGAAAATCCTACACCACACTCGAGTTTGTTGCACTGCGTTCCACTTCGTTACCACTTTGTTACGTTCTAGTGCACTAGACTGTTGTCTTTTGTGGCTAATAAATATGAGTCACTATTCTTCAATAATATAGTTTCTAGCATTTTCTCTTAATAAGAGACTCATACTTTATATTGCTGAGAAATTCACTCATATATTATACACAAGTGGCAGGCAGTTGAGAATGGATAAAATATAATTGAAATTAATTTTAAAATAAAAATACTCCTAAAAAGTATCTAATCTAAATCAGGGGAACGACGACTGTACATGTCATTAGTTTGGAGAGAGAGAGAGAGAGAGAACCTTCCAAAATTCACTTTACAGGACGAGGTACGTAGTTATGATAAACTAAGGCCAGAGATTAGGATGACAAGTCATTAAGAAAATTAGTTACTAAGAAATACTGAGTGGTTTCATGAGGCCTAATTATTACTGTGGAGAAATTAATGTCGGGCACTTTATGGCATCTCATTTATTAAACTGCTAAGTATGGTGAATTTTTGTCTTCCCAAAGTAGAATATGGTCAAACTATTTAAGGTTGCCATTAACCCTTTGTGTAACGCTAGATGCCACGCTCTCCACTTGTATCCATTGTTATTATTATTATTTTTTGTTTTAATTTATATGGAATTATTTAATTCATGCGCTCTTTAATTAGATTTATATTTATAATTGAATATCGGTGTAACTCACACGCTCATGGACATCGGAATTGTTAATTTGTTATTTTCATTTGAACCAATTTGAAATTCGAATTTACACCCCGATTTTACTTTTAATGCAATTAATTTTGAGCATCAATTCATCCAACCTTCCCATTTTTGAACATACTAATGAGAATCCATTAGTACCCTTTGTACAATGGCTAATGGTACATGGTCCACAAGACAATATTGTTTTTTTACAAGGTTGCCAATCTTTTTCTAGTGCTCATGTCACTTTCAAAATTCATGACTTTCTAGCATTATAAATTTGGCCTTCCTAAGGTCACCAAATCATCATCATCTTTCTCTCTCTCTCTCTCTCTCTCTCTCTCTCACATAGTGTTTGTGTGTGTGAGGACTGTGTTCTTACAGTACATTCTTTGATGACCACGATGGCCATGGGGGTGGTGTTGGCTCTATTGCTTATATGTCTCTATTTGCTCGTTAAAGTTGCCTATGAAACTGTATCATGTTACTGGCTAACACCAAGACGTCTCAAGAAAATCATGGAAAAGCAAGGAGTGCGTGGCCCAAAACCTCGGTTTCTAGTTGGGAACATCTTGGACATGGCCTCTCTGGTTGCCAAATCCACCTCCAAGGACATGGACTCTATCAACCACGACATCGTCGCCCGCCTACTCCCACATTTCGTCACCTGGACTAAACAATACGGTACCATCTTACGATCTTACATAAATATGATGATACATGATATATGCCTNCAACCACGACATCGTCGCCCGCCTACTCCCACATTTCGTCACCTGGACTAAACAATATGGTACCATCTTACGATCTTACATAAATATGATGACACATGATATATGCCGTGTATCCAAATTTTTTGATCAATGAAAACATTTTCACCGAGAAAAAATAATATACCTTTATGCCTCACACTTGTCTAATATATTGGCCATGGCAGGGAAAAGATTTGTGTATTGGAATGGGATTGAACCAAGGATGTGCTTGACGGAGACTGATTTGATCAAAGAGCTTTTATCAAGGCACAGTGCTGTGTCTGGTAAGTCATGGCTGCAACAACAAGGTTCAAAGCATTTCATCGGCCGCGGTTTATTAATGGCGAATGGAAATGATTGGTACCATCAGCGACACATCGTTGCACCAGCATTCATGGGAGACAAGCTCAAGGTTATTTGTTTTGAACATAGTCCACTTCTGATCATTTGCAACTTTTAGTGTTGGTTTCATTGGGGTCTGACATGTTTTAAGCTGACAATCTATTATCTAAACACAACCATCATCAAAATATATAGTCATGAAGCACTTGCCATTGCATTTTGTGTACCAAAACTTACTCAAAATGATTGGAATTTTGGTTTTTTCTTTCCATAGAGTTATGCGGGGTACATGGTGGAATGCACTAAGCAGATGCTCCAATCACTACAAAATGCAGTGGAGATTGGTCAAACCGAGTTCGAAATCGGAGAGTACATGTCTCGCCTCACTGCTGATATAATTTCTCGGACAGAGTTTGATAGTAGCTACGAGAAGGGGAAACAGATATTTCGCTTACTAACAGTTTTGCAGCAACTTTGTGCACAAGCCAGCCGGCACTTGTGTTTCCCTGGAAGTCGGTGAGTCCCCAATTTTCTCAATCCGAATCCTTTTAGGTCGATAAGTTTTTCTTTTTTCTGAAACAGATTCTATCTTTTAAACTTCTTTTCTTGTGTCCATCGCTCTCAAGATAGTTTGGCAAAAAGAAAAATTAATGATACGTATCTTAAATTTGTATCATAAATCAAGGAAGACTATTGAATCAGTAGGTCCCATTTAAAAAAATTGATAAAACTCACTGATTTAGAATACAAATTTAAATTACAAATTTAAAATACATAACACTACTCAAAAAAAAATATTTACACGAAAGAAAATATTTAGACCACTTCNCAAATTTAAAATACATAACACTACTCAAAAAAAAATATTTACACGAAAGAAAATATTTAGATCACTTTTAAAAGTTGACTAGAGACTCTATTTCCAAGTAGTATCATTAATGCACACATTAATCTAAGTGGGACCCGACGGGTTCGAGTCGCTAAAATTGCCTAAAGTATGGCTGCATACCCAGATCTTACGGGGACGAAAATCTCATGCACTAAACTGTTCTGACATTTTTTCATTATTGGGTACACCATCAAATATTATACTAATGGAGTTTACTATCTATTTTGTTTGCAGCTTTTTGCCTAGTAAATATAATAGGGACATTAAAGCATTGAAGATGGAGGTAGAGAGGCTATTAATGGAGATAATACAGAGTCGAAAGGATGGTGTAGAGATTGGCCGAAGCAGTTCATATGGAAATGATTTACTTGGCATGCTGCTGAATGAAATGCAAAAGAAGAGAGGCAATGGCTTTAGCTTAAACCTACAGCTGATCATGGATGAATGCAAAACTTTCTTCTTTGCTGGACATGACACCACTGCTCTCTTACTAACATGGACTGTCATGCTCCTTGCAAGCAATCCCTCTTGGCAAGACAAAGTTCGAGCCGAGGTGAATCGAGTCTGCAATGGTGGTTCTCCCTCTGGTGAACACCTCTCAAAACTCACCTTGGTAAGCCCAAAAGTTTATCCGTTACCTTCATGACGTTTTTTGGTGTAAGACTATGGTACCGTATCCAAAGGTACAATGTTAAAGGGTTAACCTAAAACTTTAGAGGGTCAATTTATGACCGAAAAGATATTTTTTGCCGTTGCAGACCAACTNTCTTTTCTTGTGTCCATCGCTCTCAAGATAGTTTGGCAAAAAGAAAAATTAATGATATGTATCTTAAATTTGTATCTCAAATTAAGGAAAACTATTGAATCAGTAGGTCCCATTCAAAAAAATTGATAAAATCCACTGATTTAGAATACAAATTTAAAATACATAACACTACTCAAAAAAAAATATTTACACGAAAGAAAATATTTAGATCACTTTTAAAAGTTGACTAGAGACTCTATTTCCAAGTAGTATCATTAATGCACACATTAATCTAAGTGGGACCCGACGGGTTCGAGTCGCTAAAATTGCCTAAAGTATGGCTGCATACCCAGATCTTACGGGGACGAAAATCTCATGCACTAAACTGTTCTGACATTTTTTCATTATTGGGTACACCATCAAATATTATACTAATGGAGTTTACTATCTATTTTGTTTGCAGCTTTTTGCCTAGTAAATATAATAGGGACATTAAAGCATTGAAGATGGAGGTAGAGAGGCTATTAATGGAGATAATACAGAGTCGAAAGGATGGTGTAGAGATTGGCCGAAGCAGTTCATATGGAAATGATTTACTTGGCATGCTGCTGAATGAAATGCAAAAGAAGAGAGGCAATGGCTTTAGCTTAAACCTACAGCTGATCATGGATGAATGCAAAACTTTCTTCTTTGCTGGACATGACACCACTGCTCTCTTACTAACATGGACTGTCATGCTCCTTGCAAGCAATCCCTCTTGGCAAGACAAAGTTCGAGCCGAGGTGAATCGAGTCTGCAATGGTGGTTCTCCCTCTGGTGAACACCTCTCAAAACTCACCTTGGTAAGCCCAAAAGTTTATCCGTTACCTTCATGACGTTTTTTGGTGTAAGACTATGGTACCGTATCCAAAGGTACAATGTTAAAGGGTTAACCTAAAACTTTAGAGGGTCAATTTATGACCAAAAAGATATTTTTTGCCGTTGCAGACCAACTTTATTTTTTTTTTTTTTTGTGGTTTATGATTTGAGTAGAGGTAAGAGAACTGCTTGTGAAAAGTTCCTTTCAAAAGTTTCTACCCTTCGGTTTCTTCAATTAATTCCTTTTGTTTTTATCGCATATTTTGAATTTGAAATTGTTATGAATAATTTTCCACACTTCATACAGACGAAAGGTGTTGAATAAGTACGTTAATTGAAAATTCTAGCCATTAGAATATATTTTGACTTCTCGAGCATGGTTGGCCGACTTGCNTTGTTATGAATAATTTTCCACACTTCATACAGACGAAAGGTGTTGAATAAGTACGTTCATTGAAAATTCTAGCCATTAGAATATATTTTGACTTCTCGAGCATGGTTGGCCGACTTGTCGTTGATTCTGATGATGCAAGTCTCCTATTATCTTCAGTCACCTAATAGAAAATTGAGAAAGAAAAAAAAAATGAGGTTTCTTTATAACAGCCTTGCTGTAACGAATATTAGTTGAAATCATTGTAAGCACGTGTGGGATTTAAAAAGAATCAGATATGTGCCGTCTAATTCTAATGTGCAAAAAAATTATTCGGTATTCAGTTTATATACGTCATATATATAATGTTTGGTATGCTTCCATCACTCGGGGGCCTAAAAAAAAAAATCAGATGTGCAGTCTAATTCTCGCAGAAAATTGCTTTCGTGATTTGTCCGTAAAATTATTTTCTATGTCATATAATGTCCGGTGAATTTCTTCTCTTCATTTAGATGAAGTGTTTGATTATTTTCTGCAGTTGAACATGGTGATCAATGAATCACTCAGGCTTTATCCCCCAGCTTCTGTTCTTCCCCGTATGGCGTTCGAAGATATCGAGCTAGGTGACCTCCATATTCCAAAGGGTTTATCAATATGGATCCCAGTGCTTGCCATACATCACAGTGAAGAAATATGGGGTAAGGATGTGAATGAGTTCAACCCCAATCGGTTCGCCTCCAAATCTTTCTCTCCTGGCCGCCATTTTCTGCCTTTCGCCGCTGGTCCAAGGAACTGTGTTGGCCAGTCTTTTGCTTTGATGGAAGCTAAGATCATTTTAGCCATGTTAATATCTAAATTTAGCTTCAGTATTTCAGAGAACTATCGACATGCCCCAGTAATTGTTCTCACAATAAAACCCAAGTATGGGGTTCAAATCTGCTTGAAGCCCTTGAATCCATGAGAGATTCTGGTTGAGATTGAGTTTTGTTTTTGTTATTTTTCAAGAGAGAGAGAGAGAGCTTTTTAAATATTATTGTGAAGAGAGAAACTTTGAAAAATGCTTGTACAGATGCTTGCAAGGATTAAAAAAAAAGATAATGTTACAAATATGGTTAATTATAATTTACCCCCTCAAACTATGAGGTTTATGTCAATTTGATCCCCAACTATCATATTTCATACACTGCACCTGAAATTATGGTTCTTAATTTCACGTTGCTTGCATTTTGTGCATTGTGAAAAATTCAAACTGACCCAAACTTCATAGTTTTAGGGGACAAAGTATAATTAACCCTCACTTAAATAAGAAGCTTCAGAGACTGTGATTTTGCTTTAGGGTTTATTATCAATGAGTTAGAAACTTGTTGTAGAGATTGGTAATATAATTTAAACAAAAGAGAGGAATGATTAAAGGGGTCCTCTGGATAAGCCTGAAATGCCCACAGAAAATACTAAAGAAAATCACATCAAGAAGTAATGGGTACAAAGGTTTTCTTCTTTAGTGTTGATGCTCCATGACACTTTCAATGATGGTTTTTCTCAATTGATATAACATTAGTGCTCAGCTTTCAATTTGAAAAATAGCCAACTTGTGTTTGACAAAGGTATGTTGGGTCAGCATTTTTATCTCAGCCAATGCATCATCTGCCTACCCCAGTCTGGGATTCTTCTCCACCCACTACTTTCTCCCTCTCCATTTTTTTGATTCACTTCCCTATTAGTTCTTTCTTTTCTGTCACTGTAATAGAAAATTCCTATGCCACTCATATTAAATGCAACGTGTATGCCTTTGGATCCTGGGGTGGTAGGTATGCTCAAGAATCATTGGTGTGTCATGCACGAGACCACAAATGGATAACCAAACGACATGGGAATAATCGATAATTCACATAGTTACGTGATTCAATTCGAAAGTCTATGTTGATATGCACAACGAAATTCACTAATCAAAGATGAGGAGAAGAAAGAGTTCTTGCGAGATAACCTTTCTCCTAGTAAAAGTAGATTTCCAAATCACCAAGAATATATAAAATTTCTAACAAGTCAGCAATCCCCTTTTCGGGTCATATTCAGATTGCCAAAACTGTCATTTATAGACTATTTTCTAATTAGAATTCAACTGATTTTTACGCTGATGGGTGTGAATCAGAATGAATAACGTATTTTTTTACTACTATCATAATTCTAAGTGCAAATTTTTACCTAGCTAGTCTGAAACACCACATGTGATGTGCATCTATGTGGTGCTTGTAGTGATTGTAGTAAGAATAAGATGTCTATGCTTTGTGATTATATGCATAATTAGAACATGATCACAAACAATTCTCAATTAGAGCAAAAAAGAAACCTAAAATCATGTATGGACAAAAGATACCACCCAAGCATTGACTACTTCTAATTTTATAAGTTCAAACCAAACAAACACATAACAGCAAGCGGCCAAGGGGTCTGCAACACCAAGTTGGTGAAGAAAGCTATATTATACATCACCTTGCTCTGTGACATAACTAAAGTTTGAATACTAACTTTGACCATGGGTACATTGCCAGTTTGGTCCACCCTGTGGTGCATCGAGTCAGAATTGAGAGAGAGGCATGGTGTGCTGAAGAATCATGCAATATGATTGGAGACAAGAAGCATCATTCACCAACTGAAAATAGAGTGGTGGACTGAAGGGGCATGCCTTCCCCAAGACGGGTTAGGCTATGGTACGATACATTTTTATATTTGGCCAATTACAAAGCGAGATACCCAGAGTTTTATTACTCTATTTTTTCACTTTAGCTTATTATTTTCATGATCAATGATTTCGAATAACTCAAAGCAAGATATACAATAGACAACAAATCCATTTGCCAAAAAGTTAAATTGCAGTACCATAAAGTAGTACCAAAACAGATGCACATTACCTAAAGAAGGATGCCAAATGGGGGTGTTTATAGTTTGCTTTTTCTTCTCCGTAGAGTGGAAGTTTTGAGCCTTTTACCAAATTGTTTGGTTGCTTTCACATCTAACTCAAGCTGCAAGCTATAGCAGTGACAGTAACATAATGAATCTGGCCGTTACCAAAAAAATTTAAATAATAACTCTTTTTCAGCATGTAAGGATGGATGTTTTTACCCAAATAAATATTCTGGTTCTATTTATGCTCTCGGGAGAAAGTAGTGATGATTGCGATGAATGCTACCCTCGAGGATATTCCAAGGTTAAAAAATTCCATAGCCTTGAATTGTAACGTATGCATCAAAACAGTTTTTAATTACTTGTCAAAACCCGAGCACTCATGCCCATACACGAGTTAGGCTTCTCTATACTTTCTTAACAATTGGAGGATCTTTCAATTATAATCAATAGTAACGATACATTCACATTAACAGATTCAGTTAATTTTGAATTTTAAAATTTAAGAGTACTATGTCAACTCAATTGTTATGAAATTAGAGAGGAGCTGTACTCTCCCTCGGCCAACCTAATGGAGAAAATATTACACTGGAAATTATGCTAAGAAGAAAGGTAGGAATTTGTTGAAAAGAAAATGGAAAATGTTCAAATAAAAGGTGGTGGTTACAAAGCAGGAAGTTGTTGCAATCACAATTTGGACAAATTTGAACATGGGGTCACAACACTTACGACCAACATAAGAAATAATTTTCAATCATCTGGAAGATTGAATCTATCAATTATTCAGAATTGTTAGGGATTAGTATCTTTCCATTACCTTACACAAATTTTCGTTGGGGTATCTCTTTCTGATCCACGTGTTCTTGCACAGATTAGGGCATAAATGAGATAGCCAAGATGTAGATTTGAGTTGCGGATGCTCTTTCAATGAGCAAAAATGACTATCCATAAGAACTGAGTAGTTAATTGGTCATGTTGTATTTCTCAATTGTGCGTAATTAAGTCGTGTCGTGTCAAAATTTGATAGGTCTAACATGAATCATTTATCCATTTATTTAAATGCATCTTGTGGAACAACCTATTTATTTCTCAAACCATTAATTTAAAATACATGCCCACTAATTTCGTGTTCAGTGAGCGGGTCTTAACATTGTCAAACCCTAATCANGTCTAACATGAATCATTTATCCATTTATTTAAATGCATCTTGTGGAACAACCTATTTGTTTCTCAAACCATTAATTTAAAATACATGCCCACTAATTTCGTGTTCAGTGAGCGGGTCTTAACATTGTCAAACCCTAATCAAAACATTCAATACATATATGTAACACATGTATGACCAATATGCCATCTGAAGGTAATTAATATATAGATTCAAAGGTGCATGATTAAAAGCCTGAAAATAGTGCTATCTATTCCTTCAAAAGTATGAACTCAGAGAACTTCCATGTTTACTGCTGCCTTTGAAGTGTTAAATAATGTTTACATATATATACTTAAGTTACTTAGAGCATTTGTATCACAATATATTATTTTAGCTTCTGAGTTTCATAAAATGACAAAAATGTCACTTCCACATTATAATATTAATGCTCTCTATCCCAGTGGCCTCAAAATTCTGAAGTTTTCTGAGTCGTTGACTTCAAAATGATTAATGTCTAGGCCAGTCGAGATTGTAGGTTGAGTATGCTTTGCTGGTGTAGTTAGCTCAGCATATAAAATTAAGATTAAAGATAGCATTGAGAAATGTTGTGCTTTGTGTGCACGAACAATCAAAGAAATAAAAAAATAGAAGATGAACATAAGAATTTTTATGTAATTTGACAACTTGCATACGTTTTCAAGAGAGCAATTACTTTATTTTTATTCAACACTGAAATAGGGTTACAACTTAATATATATAGGTTATAATCTTAATTTGGGCAAATCTTGAAAGTACGTGCGGCTCTCCTACTCCATACAACTAACCCATTATCCTCGAATTTGGTGGATCTCTTCATATATTGAATATGAGCCACATATTCTAACAATGCATGATTATGAATATGACATTTTCTTGCGCCCACACTAATAAAAGAGATTATCCTATGATAATGATTATATGGTAACCTTTATTTGTCTTTTTTATCTTGCACGGGTGGAATTGAGTGCCCGAAAAGTGGTGGATTAAAACAACACTAGTTAAGATTCTCTCTCGCTGCCCGCCCCCCCCCCCCCCCCCCAAC